TATTCTGGAGTCCACACATAAGTGACGTCATGTGGTGTTTGTTTTCCTCTTTGACTGACTTCACTTAGTGTGATCGTCTCTGGTTGCATCCATGTTGCTGCAGGTGGCATTTCGTTCTTTTTATGGCTGAGTAATATTCCATTGTATATAAACCACATCTTCTTTACCCATTCATCTGTCACTGGACATTTTGGTTGTTTCCATGTCCAGCACTATTGTGAACAGTGCTGCTCTGAACACAGGGGTGCATGTGTCTTTTTGAATTATAGTTTTGTCTGGGTATATGCCCAGGAGTGGGATCGCTGGATCATATGGTAATTCTATTTTTAGTTTTCTGAGGAACCTCCACAGTTTTCTATAGTGGCTGCACCAACTTACATTCCCACCAACAGTGTAAAAGGGTTCCCTTTTCTCCACACACTCTCCAGCATTTGTTATTTGTAGACTTTTTAATGAAGGCCATTCTGACTGGTGTGAGGTGGTACCTCATTGTAGGTTTGATTTGCATTTCTCTAATAATTAGTGATGTTGAGCATTTTTTCATGTGCCTACTGGCCATCTGTATGTCTTCTTTGGAGAAACGTCTGTTAAGGTTTTCTGCCCATTTTTTGATTGGGTTGTTTTTTTGTTGTTGAGTTGTATGAGCTGTTTGTATTTTGGAGATTAAGCCCTTGTCTGTTGCATCATTTACAAATATCTTCTCCCATTCCATAGGTTGTCTTTTCAGTTTTTTTTTATGGTTTCCTTTGCTGCGCAAAAGCTTGTAAGTTTGATTAGGTACCATTTGTTTATTTTTTTTTTATTTGTTGCCTTGGGAGACTGACCTAAGAAAACATTGGTACAATTTATGTCAGAGAATGTTTTGCCTATCCTCTCTTCTAGGAGTTTTACGGTGTCGTGTCTTATGTTTAAGTCTTTAAACCATTTTGAGTTTATTTTTGTGTATGGTGTGAGGGTGTGTTCCAACTTCATTGATTTACCCGGGGCCCCTTCTTTGTGAGGCCGCCAAATGCAGCTCCAACAAGCTCCTTTCTTGAATTCCAGGGTCTAGAACATTCCAGGCCATGCTGCCTGCCTCGCTTTCCATGTCACGGTCCACGTAGGGCTTTCAGGACCCCAGGGATGTGGCCCTGGCAGGGCCGTGGGACAGGAGCAGAGCTGAGGCCTCCACTGTCCTCTCCCACCTGCCCCCAACCTCACCCTGCAAGCCAGACCGTGTGCCCATTGCCAGCTCCTCCCCGTGGGCTGAGCCTGGGGGCACCCCAAGTGATGGGGCAGTGTTTCTGCTGCTGCTCCCGCTTGCCCTGTCCCCCGCCCCGGCCAGCACGCTCTCTCCGGCCAGGCACGTCTCACGTGTGTCCTGTGGAGCACGGCACCCAGGACCAGTCCTCTGCCGAGCGCCCTGGCCTCTCTAGCCCCAGAGCAGCATAGCAGCCTTCCGCCGTGTCGGTTGCCCCCAAGACACCCATCCCACTTGGGACTTTGTCACCTCCAGGGCCGCCCAGGGCCGGCTGGTGTCTGCTGAAGTTGCCGTCCTCCACGGCAAGTGTGGTGTGTGCGTTGTAGCTGCGGTTTTCTGAGATCGAGGGCCACAAGCTGTTCTTGCAGGTTGTGGGAGACTTGAGACTTTTTGTGTTTTGTGTGTTCTTGGCAGAGAATCAGAATTCAGTCTGTCGTCAGTCTGTGGGTCCTGCAGGAGCTGGAGTGGGTTGCAGCAAAACGGACTGTGGTCCTGGCGAGTGGGCGTGCCCTCCTCCTGTTCCCATCAGCTGTGTCCCTCTGGCCTTGGGTTTGAACCCTGGCTCTGGAGAGGCTGTTTCAGAGCTTCCTGTTGAGGAAGGACGTCTGGGCAGAAGTGCATGGCGGTTGTAGTGCGTGGTTCTAGGTCTCCACGCACCCAGGTGCCTGCCCTGAACACCCCCCGACGTGAGCCTCAGGCTGCGGGGGTCACCGGTTCCCATTTCCGGTGGACTCACCTGGCAGAGGACTCACGGTGGGAAATGCTGACAAGCAGATTCCAAAGTGACGGATGCTCCCTGGCAACGTGTGTGCTTAGGGCCACTGTGGCAGCTCCAGGATGCAGGCCCCCTGGTTTCCCTGGTGACGGGAGTGTGACCACCTTTTCTGAGATCTGAGCCATTTGGACATTGTCTTTCGTCACGTGTCAGATCTTTCATGTTCTCTCCGGGTTGTCCGTCTTTTTATACTTTGTCTTCAGGGACCTTGTTCTGGACGCACGTCCTGCCAATGTCCTCTCCTCCAGGGATGGCCTTCTTGTCCTTAGACCTAACGTGGTCCTGTTTGGGGTATCTTGATCTCCCCCAGGGTTGACATTCTCTGTTTTTTTTCTAAAAGCTTTACTGTTTTACTTTTTACGTTTGGACTCACAATCTAGCTGACCCAGCTCCCTTCTCGCTACGTCGTGTCGTCAGGCCACACATGTGGCTCTACTCTTGGACTGTCTGTCCTCTGGGTCTCTCTGTCCATCCGTGAGCCAGTGCAGCCTGTCCTACAGATACAGATGTAGGTCTCAGTCCTAGAGATGCAGGGTTTAGGTCTCACAGTGGGTCACAGTGCCCAGTTGTCTCAATCCTGTGGTCCTTTTTTCTCCATGATTGTCTTCTCTTCCTGGCCATTGGGTTCCCACCCCACCTGTAGAATCAACTTGTCAGTTTGTGCTTCAGGAGTTTGGCCGAGGTTGCCTGCAGCCTGAAGGTCGATTGGGTGAGAAGTCATGTCTCTGCTCTGAGTCTTCTGACCATGAACATGGTGTGTCCATGCATGGACCCCCTCAGTGTTTTAGGGTTTTTGGAGCAGAGATGTTGCACATCTTTCTGTAATTGTCCCACAGTTCTTGGATATTCTTTTTTTTTTTTCATTTTTGTTTCTCTTTGCCTTTCAGTTTGGGAAGTTTCTGTTGACCTGTCTTCAAGTTCACTGATTGTTTCCTTGGCCACATCTGGTCTTAGGACAAGCCCGTCCGAGGCATCCGTTTCAGTTACAGTGTTTGTGGTCTCCAGTGCTTCCACCGCTGCTTACATTGTCTGTCCCCGCGTGGTGCCACTTTGTCCACTAGGGTCCTTGGCGTATTAATCACAGCTGTTTCAAATTCCTGGTCTGATAGTTCCAGCGTCTCTGCCATTTCTGAGTCTGGTTCTTACATTTGCACTGTCTCTTCAGACTGCTTTTTCTTGCCTCTTGTTGTATTTTGTACTTTTTTGTTGAAGGCAGCCTTGTTGGGGGAACAGGAGCTAAGTAACCAGAGCACAGGGTGTTTGCTGCAGCAGCAGGTCCCAGGCAGAGCCCCTCCCGGTTCTTGTTCTCATCCTCAGGGAAACCACAGGAGGGGCTGAAGTCCCTTTGTCTCGTGTTAATAGAGCCACAGCGCAGTTTTTGATCAGTGTTTAATGTAGTTTATCTTTTTTAATCATTTCACTTTCAATTTCTGTGTTCCTACATTTGAATGTGTTTCTTATGAACAGTAGATAGGCCTCATCTCTTTTTAATCCAGTTTAACCGTTTTTGGTAATTGGAGTGTTTTGTCCACTTACATTTAATGTGTGAGTTTGGATTTGCTGGGTTCGTTTGCCATCTTTCCATTTTCTGTTCAACGCTGTTTGTTTCTTTGCTCCTTTCTTGTCTTTGTTTGGATTGGTTAACGACTTTTTTTGTTTTGCGGTACGCGGGCCTCTCACTGTTGTGGCCTCTCCCGTTGCGGAGCACAGGCTCCGGACGCACAGGCTCAGCGGCCATGGCTCACGGGCCCAGCTGCTCCGTGGCATGTGGGATCTTCCCGGACCGAGGCACGAACCCGCGTCCACTGCATCGGCAGGCGGACCCTCAACCACTGTGCCACCAGGGAAGCCCGGTTAACGACATTTTTACCATTTCACTTCCCCTTCTGTTAACTTCCTGCAGTTTTCCTGCTGTTTGTTAGTGACTGCCCATCAGGACAGCATTCCTTCCCCACGTACGGCAGTCAGGACGGGTGGCACCGGGCAGAGGGCTCTGGCTGCGGTGCCCTTCCTTCCCAGGGCCCAGATGGTCATGGCCTGCCTTCCGTTCGGCCGCCTCTCTCTTCATTGTCCTGCAGTTCTTCACTGTGCTCTTAAGTCTCTGTTCTCCTTGTGGCTAAGTTATTTCTGAGGTGATGCCTTTTTCCCCCTTTCCTCCCCCCCGACCATGCTGTACTAGTGTCTGCCTTGCCTGGCCCTTCTCTTGGGCCCCTACAGGACCCCCTCAGATGCGGGCTGAGGGCAGCTCTGGTCGGCCCCCAGGTGACACTGTGGGTGACAGGGATGGCAGGCCAAGTGTCAACTCTCCCCTCTCCTTGTGTGACGGCCACACACAACACTGGCTTCCTAAGGAAACGTGCTTTCTACATTAGGAAAATGTCGCACAGATGGATGAAGTTGGGGGGACAGTATAGTCACCCTCCCCACCTGCTTGCTGCCCAGAGGTTGTGTTGGCCACGGGGCTCCTGGCACGTTCGGGGAAGCGGCACAGATGCAGTTTCCTGCAGGAAGCGTGACCCAAGGAGGGCTGGGGAGACGGCGCTGACCGGCCTGACCCTGTCATGTGTCCTCCACAGCCCAGTGTCCGCTGAGGCCAGTCCGGGAAGCTGAGTCCTTGCCTCTGCCTGCCTGGGAGGAGGAGCCCAGGCATGGTCGGCATGGAAGACCTGGACGGACGGCGGCGGTCTGGCTGGTGCGTGAGGGCCCTGGAGTTCGTCACCTGGAGGTGGCATTTCCTTCCATGCATGCTGTGCCACAGTGACCTGGGCTGTTGGTGCATTTGTCCTATCTCTAACCTGTGTCTTACTTATAAAATCACGTGCTGAGCAGCTCTGTATCTGCCTGTGCCTGACACTGCTGCCGGCGGGGGAGCTGGAACCAGAGGGGGTTGTAGGCTCCTGCACCGAGGCCCGCTGGGAGGGGTGGCCCTGGGGGGGACAGGCCGGTTGCAGCCTCCCGTGTGCTGTCCTGTCGCCACATCCACCATGGCCTTGTTGGGCTTGCTCGTAGCCGCTGACAAGCTCTGAGCGACTCACGTTACATGTCAGATGCTGCAGGGGCAGAGAAGGTGCCATGCCTTGGGGTGGGGGTGGGGGTGGGTGCCGTTGAGCGCCGCCTCCGGGTCTCTTTTGCAGTGCGGGTGGGGGCTGTCTTCCCTCCTCACCCCATTCTAGTGCCCAGCGCGCATGGCGGTCGCACGCACGTCACCTGCCCTCGTGCAGTTTCATTCAGTCAGAAAGAGCCAACCTGTGTTCTCAGAATCCCACCAGGACCAGTTCAGCCACACAGGGGACTTGTGACAGCAGCTCAAACCCTCAACGGAAGCAGGGCACGGTCAGTGGCTTCATAGATCTGCCGACATGTGGCCTCCAGGAAGTGGTTCTCTGGTGACGGGAGAAGAACCACATTGTCTGAACCTTTTTTTTCATTTGTCCAGAATGGGGTACACACTCAGGGTTTCTGAAGCAAAGACAGGCTGCTTTTGTCCACATGGGCTGGCACTCATGCTGGCCTGTTCAGGGGCCAGTGAGGCCGATGTGTGTAAAGGTTCCCCACTTGAGCACCTGCGTGGCCAGTCTCAGTGCTGAGGGGTCAGGCCGCCTCCTGCGGGAGCCTTTGTGTGGCAGGCTCCTGGTCCATCCCCACCCTTCCACCTGCTGCTTCATGGGTTGAGGTCTGGATGCAGGACAGATGTGGATGGGCAGGTAGAACATCTGAGGTGAAGTCGTCCAGCCATGGGCCCAGGACAGTGTTCCTGCACCTGGGCCACGGGACAGACCGCCCCTCCTGGGACGTGCGCGCCCACGGGTCCATGGCTGGAGGCCATGGTAGGTGGTGTCGGTACAATCCTGAGACGGGTTTTCCTGCTGCCTTTGCTAAGTGAGTTTCTCCTGCTCCAGTTGAGCCAGTGGACATGCCGGGAACGCTGACCTTCCCTGAGAGTGGAAGCCCATGTTAGTCTTGCATGAGGTTTTAACTTTAATTTCATTTAAGCCTTAAAACATGTCTCCTCTTGAAAATAAGTAGAGAGTTTTCCATTTTCAATGGAAGAACAGCCAGAGGCCCCATAGCTGGTGGACGTTGTCACGTGGTGAGGGGTCCTGGATGCCCAGGCAGCCTCAGGCCACATGAGGCCATGCTGGTTGGAAGGCTCTCCTGCAGGGTGGCCACAGGAGGCCCCACTTGTATCCCTGTAGCAGGCGGGGTCCACAGAGCAGCACATAGACCTTGGCTGAGAAAACCAAGCAAGGCGCTTTTGAGAAGGAATAAAATGAAATGTTTTTAGCATAATTTTTAAAAAACACCAAGATTCCAGAGACATGGTCTCTGAGACATGGAGACAGGCCAGTTTACCACACTGATGATACTGTGTCATGAAGCAATTCTTCTTCCGTTGCTGGTCTACCTTTGCAACCCGAGGAAAACCAACAAAGCCGGCAGTGTCCAGCTGCCCCTGCACACCTTCGGCCATGTCAGATCCTACTGGTCAGCACCTGTTCTCATCAGGCGTCTGGTGGCTGGGAACCTCCTCCTCCATTTGGAGCCCATCTGGGTCCAGGTGACGGCTTTGTGGGGAGCCCCCCCTCACGACTGACGACGTGGCCAGAAGCAGACAACAGCAGAGGTGGACATCGTGGAAAGCAGTGGTCTGAAGCAATTCAGGGTGGGTGGACAGTGCTGGGCTGCCACCTGGTAGAGGGAGTGGTCAGGAGACACCCCCGCCCCCGAAAGGGGCAGAGAAGGGCACCTGTGGCCCCAGTGGGAGTGAGGTGGGTGGGTCTGAAGAGCCGCAAGAAGCCTCGTGCCTGAAACAGGATATGTGAGGGCAGCGGTGTGGCCGTGAGCATATGGCCATGTCCCAGACACAGAGTGAACCATCCCAGTGAGCAGGTCTCTGGCGTCCCCAGGATCCATGTCTGCTGAGCCCTGGAGGCTGGCTGGGAAGTGTGGATGTGATAGCATAAGGCCCAGGGCCAAATCTAGTAGCAGACCCCACATGCAGCTGGGGCCCTAAATAGCTGTACCCTCAGCAGCAAGGAGAGAGGGAAGTAGGTCCCCACAGGAGCACATCTGTCTTGGTCTCTGCCCGGTGCTGGTGGAGAGGAATGTGATCACAATGGCCCCTGACCAGTGGTGCTGACAGACACTGGGCAGAGGAGGCAAACAAAACCCTCTCTGGAAGGATGCAGGCTGAGCCCTACAGAGAGAAGAACATAAGCTCACATCCCCAAATTGCACAAAATGCACAAAGAAACAAGGCACCATTAGCAAGACCTTAGTAAAATCAGACCCCAAAAGACACAGAATCTAAAATGAATTTAGTTTTGAAAAGGGTTAGAAATTATCAAGAGGAAATTAGGGGGGAAAAGGCTCAATGGATGAATTAAACAACCATCTAGACATGGCTGAAGAGAGAATTGGGGAACTGGAAGATCTGAAGGAGTTTTATCCAGAAAAACAACTGGAAAAATATGAAAACAAAGTCAAGAGACACCAGAGAACCTGCCCTGTGTGTGGCTGGGGTCTCGGGAGACGGTGCCACATACTTGGTGATAGAAGCAAGATCCCAAACAGGACAAGCTCACGTCTGGACACGTTGCAGCGGAACTGCTGGGAGACTGGGTGGTCCAGGCAGCTGCCCCTCTTGGATGGCAACAGTGGACTTAACACTGGAATGAGATCCTCATCGAGCTGAGAGAAAACAATTTGCCTCGGCTGGACTGAAGCTAGTTCAGCTGTCATTCAGGGAAGAACAAAATAGGTCGTTACAGATAAAACAAACCTCCTTAATGCCACTGGTTTCCAATCTTGACACTGTTGACATTTGAGGTCGAATAATTCTTAGTTGTGGGGACCGTCCTGTGTGTTGCAGAATGTTTAGCAACAACCTAGATGCCGGTAGCAAACCCCCTTCCCAGTCATGATGACAGAAATATCTTCAGGCAGATTCTGGGGGCAGATTCTAGTGGATAAAGCGTAGGGATCATTTTCCTGCTGCCAGGTGAATGCAGGTGCAAGAGACAATGTTGGGCAGAGAAAACTATAAACAACAACCATGTAACAAAAAGAATAACGGCTAACATACAGATTTTTAAAAGCACGTAGAATTTCTTTTTAATGGACAATAGTAGCATACAGTATAAAAATAAACGTGCATTTTTAGAAGGTCCTGTAGCCAGAACACTGATCCTCTTGCCTCTGACCAACACCTCGTGTGCTTTGGGAAGGGTCTTCCGAGACTCTGCATGCAGAGACCCTGATGCTTTTAAATCACCAGAGCAGGGAATTGTGACTCAGACGTGACTCCACAATGAGGCCACTCCTGATTGTTCAAGCCCCCTGACCCTACTCGGACCCAGGAGTTACCACCTTGTTCACATAAAGTTAGGGCAGGGCTCCCATCAGTGGGAGTCATCACTCAACTCCAGCATTAATGGCACCAGTGATTCAACACATCAATGATTTGTTCTTGGACCAAGGAGACAGGCCCCCGGGGGTAGCAGCCGTGCGTCACCTTTAGGGAAAAGCCATTGGCCTCCTGGGACCGAGAGACCAAATGCACAAAGGGACAACTCCAGACCGTGTCTCAACATAGAACTGTGTAGCCACTGGTCCCCAATGGCCAGGACGTGGTCACAACTGCCAGCTTCCCCAGTTCTAGCCATACATCCAACTTAGGACCAATCGGAGAAGGAGACTCACTCCCCTGACCGCTCACGCCCATGGCCCCCCGCCAGGCACAGCGGGGCCTCCCCCTCCACCCGCAGGTCTCTGCTGTGCTTGGTGAGGGGTCAGCTCCCCACCAGACAAGCTGTGAGCACTCAGCCCCTGTCCCCAGGGTGGGCCTTGTCTAGTTCCATGTCTCTCACACATGCGGCCCCCACATGGATGGAGCCAGCCACCCACCCAGACACGGACCAGACTTTCCACAGTGGCCAGAGCTGGGAACGAGGCAGGCGTTGGGGAGCCGTGCAGTGACTAGAGCGAGTGACTAGAACGTCTGCCACAGACACGAGGGAGGCTCTCTGGGGAGGGTGCATTGTGCGGCCACGCCCTCTGCTCCATGTCTCCGTCTGTGGTATCTGTACACACGTGTGGACACGTGTCAGAGATACACGGTGGGGTGTGGACAACACCCCTCAGGCTTGTGCTCACGGCTGTGTGCTTTACCACACGTAAACCACACCCGATAAGAACACTAAGACGTGCCCTCCTGGTGAAGGGGATTTGAGGGGCATCTGGGTGTCACCCTCCACCGGGCACGTTCCCCACCGGGGGCCACGGGGCCATCCTTCCCTACTTGCTCTCGACCCTGGGCTGCGGCTGCTGGGGGCCCCGTACATACCTGGGAGCAGCTGCCATGGGTCTGTCAGCTGAAGTGAAGGAAATCCCGGCCCTCTTGCAGGTGCAGTGACCTCAGATTGTCTTCAAATGCGCCCCCTGTGAGGTCCTGGGGGAGAAGCGACAGGTCTGGCTCTATCCAGGCCTCCCCTGGCCTGCACTGGGGACCCCAAGAGCCTCCCTTGGGGGCCTGGGGTTTGGGGTTGCCTGTGGCCACCTGTTAGGTGGTCCACTATGAACTTCTGCTCCACTGCTAAAAGGAGAGGATCCAGAAGGAGAAAAGTGCTGGAAGGGAACCTGTTGGCAGTTGGCCACAATGTCCCATAGGTCACCAGGGAGGCTGGGGGCAGGGGGTCCTCTGAGGTGCCTCCACCAGCCTGGCCTCGGCCCCTCCCCGCAGGAGGCAGCTGGCCCCCCACAGGGACTCGGGGGAGGAGGTGAGGCTCTCATGGGCAGTCCCTTCCGCTCATTTCTTGGTCCAGGGCAGAGCCAGCTTCCCCTGTCCTGACTGATCCTGGGGTCTCCATGGTGGCCCCCTCGCCCCACCCCCATGGCCTCTGCAGGGCCACAGGTGGGAGGCAGCCCTGGGGACAGAAACTGTGACCTAAGAGCCAGCTGCTGGCAGAGCCCCTCCCGCCTCCCGCTCCGTACCCACCCCCACGGCCGAGACAGGAGGCAGTCCCTGCCCACGTCTTCCCTGTACCCTTGTTGGTGCGGGACTTGGGGGTGGGTCCCCAAACTCTTCAGCTGGGCCTGTGCACTGGTGCTGCTTCGGCTGCCCTCCTGTGCGGGGCCACGGCGGGGTTTCGGGAAACATCTGCAGGCTCCTGTCCCTCGTCCCAGCACCACCTGCCAGGTCCCCTCCTGCCTCCATAACCAGCAAAGCGGGGGCCTCTCTGCCAGGATGTGGGAGGGGCTGCCTGACCACCACATTCCTTCCTGTTGGGTGTCATCCGTCTGTCCTTGGGCCCAACACAGGGAATCACCCTTGTCCTGGGCTGTTTCTGCTCCTCTTACTGCTGTTACCTGGGCTTTGCTAGAAGTATTTAAATGAAAACCATTCTACCTGGAAAACACCTGAAATTTCCACATTCTGTCCTCTACCTGCTGTCTGTTCTTAGCCTCCGTTTTCTCCTCCCATTATCTCTCTGCTTCCAAGTTTTCAAAGGAAATACACGTGGGTTCAGGGCCAGCCCAGCCACAGACCTGGGCTTGTAAAGGGGCCACCAGGAAGGTACTCATGTGTCCATGAGTGGACACACCCCCTTAAGAGAATTAAAAAGGTCAGACGTGAAACCAACAAGGACTAGAACCCAGAGGGTACAGAGGACTCTTCGGGTCAGGAGAAGACGCACAATCCCACGGACAAGAAGCTGATCAGAAACATCAGGACACAGGAAATCCACACGCCTGACAGATGCGGGAAAGGTCTTGGCCTCAGCAGGGATCAGATGGAAATGAACCCCACCGTCCAGTCGTGAGGCCTAGAGGGACCCCTCCCTCCCTGCCTCTGGGCGTGTCCCCTGGCCTGGCCTCCTGGGCGTTGTCTAGTGAAGCAGAAGACATGGCTACCCCACGACCCGTGAAGAGCGTCAGGACCCTCCATGAGAAGCTCTGGTGTGATGCCCACGGCTGGGTCCCGAAGCGCCAACGGGAAGAGGAAAGCAGGTCTCAAGCATGACGTGGAGGAGACCGGACCCCCAGAAACACAGCCAACTCTGTCACATGGCCTGCAGACATGCACTCCACACCAAACGGATTAGCGGAGCAAGTACAGAATCGGGCGGCGCTGGGGGAGGGCATGTCGCCCGTTAAACTGTGCAGCCGGTTCTGGAACAGAGGCTGCAGAGTTTTCTTAAAGGGCAGATGGTTAGCATTTACGGCTTTGTGGCCATACGTCCTCTGTGTTCTAGTAAAACTTTATTTACAGAAGCAGCTGGTGGGCCACACTTAGGCCATTTTCCGAAGGTGTTAAGAATTCACAATAAAGTTTATTCAAACAAGAAAAACGTGAGAAAGGTTCTAAAAAGAATAATGAAGGAAGACTATCCTTACTCAGTGGTGAACATCATAAAGCTATAGTCAGCAATGGTGCATGACAGATGCGTAGAAAAAGGCCAAGACTCCAGAAACAGCTCCAAATCCACATGCATACCCAACACACAAAGACGCCATTTCCTGACTGGAAAAGATGAGGGTTTCTCACCAAATGATGTTAGGACCACTGAGGATCCAAACAGAAAGAAAAAAGTCTGGATCCCTATGATAATCTTTATAACAAAATAAATTCCAGTTGTACCAAAAATATAAGGAAAAAACAGGAGTCTGAGGACCAGACTTGGATAATGTTTTTTTAAATATCACAGTGAGAAATGATTGTCTTAGAATGAATAAAACCCCCAAAAGCCATAAAAGGAAAAATTAATTTGATTATATCCAAATAACAAACTTCTAAATGGCAAAAGATATAAATTCAGTTAAATGACACAGAAAAATCTGCAACATCACAGACAGTAGTTTGTTTCTGTTACTGTATAAAGAAAAATACTGAGAGACCAACAGAGAAATGGGCCAATGAAAAGGATAAGGTACCAAAAGGGAAATAAAGATGAATACAAATACATGAAAAGATGCCCTCCTTACTCACAATATGACATTGCCAACTGGAACCATAAACTTACTGTTTTTCACCTGTGGTTTGCAAAGGTGGAAGGTTTGGTCACACCGCTGGAGAAGGGTCATGGTGGGGGCAGGGTGTGTGAACTGGCTCAGCCTCCAGGGGCAGAATGGCTGGTCTCACGACTGATGGTGGGCACATTCTTTGACCAGCACCTTTCAGACACTTATCCCATATGTGTAGCCACTTGAGCAAAATTATGCACATATAAAGATACCCACGGCAGCATTATTCCTAACGGTGAACAGTAAAACTGGCCTAAAGGCACATCGGTAAGTAACTGGATAATAAATGTATGAAACACCCAAATAATCGAGTGGGATGCAGATATTTTTTAAGTGAGGTACATGAATCCCTCAGAAGCTCCTGCAGCCAGCGATGAAGGTGTTCCTGCGAGCAGAACGGACCCTGGACCTGAGCCTCGGGAAACACGTTAAACCACAAGCCGGTTTCGTCAACAAACAGATTGTAAGAAAGTGAGGGAGACAAAGGTCACACTGGGTCTGCATTCCAACAGGCAAGTATGAAAAGATAGAACACGTCTACAAGGCAGTTAGAGAGATTTCAACACTGATGGGATATCTGGAAATTTGGGGTGACATAGTGGTATTATGGTAGTTTTTTAAGCTTTTAATCTTTTCAGGAAACAATATTGAAGAAATGAGGCTAGAATTTGCCTCGCTCCCAGGTTGGGGGAGTTGGGGCTTGGGGCTGGCTTCTTTGCTTTGGCTGAAACGTGCTGGAAAGTTTCCTTCATAAAAAGATAAGAGTTGGGTGGCACCAGCGGATTTATATGGAATTAACTCCAAGATATACTATTATGTGAAAAAAGAGAAATAAAGAAGTATGTATAACATGCTGCTGTTTGTTAAAAAGAAAAATCACATACACCTTTGTGTTTCTACCTCTAGACCCTCTAAGGAAACAAAGCGGGTGACAGGGATGGGTTCCTTCCCACCCAAAGTCTGCTCTCTGGGAAGGGTTTGCATGGGTGGGGGTGTTCCCTTCGTGGCAACTTCAGGTCCCTGAGAAGCAGACCCTTAAGAGAGCCTATCTCTGAAAAGCTAGGTATCATTTGTGCAGAATTAAAACACTCATTTTACAACGGCTCCTTGCAGCCCCATAGTCATTCATCCAATTCCCCTGGCAACTTGAACATTGTTTGTCTTGGCCTCTCAGGAAACTGCTTTCAAACCAGGAAACCCAAAGCCAGGTGGGTCTGTCCCTGTGGCAGGCAGGCCCCAGATGGCCACGAGCCTGCCTCATTGCACCCACATCCCGTGGAACCCCCTTCCCTGGTATGTCACTTCTGTGATTAGGTCACACGTTAGTGTGACGTATGTCTTGCTACTGACCCTGCCCCTTGCTGGCTTTCACAGAATAAGCTGCCATGGTTGGTGGGCCTGCAGAGCAAACAGCCGGCAAAGCACTGAGGCCCTCGGCCAACACCCTGGAGATCTGACTCCTGCCAACGACCATGAGAGCTTGGAAGCAGGTCTGCCCCAGGTGAGCCTCTTGATGAGACATCATCACCGGTAGACACCACCACGCTCACCTGAAGCTGAAAGCCACCTGTGGTGCCTGGACTTATGACCCACAGAAACGTGAGGAAGTAAACATGTGCTGTTTGAGGCTAAGTTTGTAGTTTGTTATGTAGTGACGGTTAAATAATGCAGGTTCAAGCTGGCAAGCAGTCAAACAGAAGAAAACCTCAAGGTGACACGTTGGGACTGGAGCCACCCGGCTGCCTGGCCCTGGGACACTCAGTGTACAGCCACCTGCAAAAGCACAAAGCTGGCCCTTACCTGACCCCACACACAAACAGCAACTCAAAATGGGTCCAAGACCTACATGAAGGAGCTGAAACCATAAAACCCTTAAAAAAGCACAGGGGTAAATCTTCATGACTCTAGATTGGGTGGTGGTTTCTTAGCCATGACACCCAAAACAGAAATCAAATTACAAATAGATAAAATGGACTTTGTCAAAGTTAAGCACTTTTTGTGCATCAAAGGACACCGTCAAGAGAATGAAAAGACAGCCCACAGGATGGGAGAAAATATTTGCCAATGCATCCAGTTGGGGACTTGAGTCTAGAAATATAAAAACTCTGAGGACTCAACAAAAAGACAAACAGCCCGATTAGAAAATGGGTGAAAGACCTGAACAGACACTTCTCCACAGGAGGCAGACAAGTGGCAAACATGCTCCACGTCCTCCGTTGTCAGGGAGACGCAAACGGAAACCGCCGTGAGAGCCACTCATCCACCAGGATGGCCGTGACGAACAAACACGTCACAAGGTGGGCAAGGATACGAGAAACTGGAACCTTTGGGCAGCGGGGGGTGGGGGGGCATAAGTCACCCTAAGACCAGTGATTCCACCCCAGCTCTGCATCCGAGAGAACTGAAAACACGTCCACATGGAAATCTGACCTGAATTTTCACACGGCCTCATTCAAACTGACAAAGCCTGTTGTGCCCATGAGATTCTGTTCTGGTCCAAGTGTTCAGCTCACCTGTGGCCGTGCAAAGTCTCCACCAACTGAGCAGAGGAAACCACACCTCTACTGCCTCACAGTTTCTGTGGGGCTGGAGCTCAGGGCTGGGCCTGGCCATGCAGGGACCAGCTGGGACCCTGAGGCCACTCCTGGCGCCAGGCTCCTGGGGTCAGCCTGTTCTCACGCCCGTTTTCCCGGCAGTTGGGTGACTTCTCCAAAGTGGCAACTCAAGCGAGGGGCAGAATCAGGATGTTCTCCGGTCCTGCATGGGACCCCACCTGACCAACACGCTACAACGCCCGCTGTCCCCCGTGTCTGAGCTCGGGCCCCATGGGAGCACAGCCTCAGGGAGGTGACGTTTCCCATCAGGATGCACTGGCCTGGTGGGGCCCCTGTGGAGGCGCCTGGGCCACACGGCAAACCGCAATTAGAAGCTGTAACACCAGTCAGTGCAGAAGGGGGTCTGGGATCTTAAAAACAGCCACCAACAAAGGGCTCTCCCCTTCTCTGGCATCCTCCACATACACGTGGAGCAGGCCACCTTTGCTATGAAAGTGTGTAGGGGCTGCAGGCTCCCTGAGCCCAAGGCTTGGTGAGAGTCTGCACTTGATGTGGGGTGAGAGGCATGTTCTGCTTGGTTCCCCACTGCTATTGGCGAACGCTGGCAAATGAACATGCACCTGCTTCCCTTCCGCTAAAGCCACTGCCTCCAGGAAGGCCTCTGGCCTGGCACCCTGTTTACCAAGGTTTCAACCTCAGAGGCTGGAAACTGCTGGAAGTTTCAACTATGCATCATCCCACGTCCCCAGTGGCACAGCACAGGGACCTGCTCACCCATCCACTACTGTCCCCTCTTGACCCTTTGGGGCAGCCCCGCCCCACATGAGCCAACCTGGACCCTGTAGTCCTGGTGGATTAAGGACACTTTATACTTGCATTTGTGATAATCTTTCTGACCACGGGGAGGAATTTCCAAAACAGGAGGACACAAAGTGTTCATCACAAGAGAAAAATTGATAAATGTACTGTGTTAAAAATAAGCTTTTCACGGGACTTCCCTGGTGGTCCAGCAGGTAAGACTCCACTCTCCCAATGCAGGGGGCCTGGTCGGAGACCTAGATCCCACAGGCATGCCGCACCTAAGAGATCCCACATGCCACAACCAAGACCCAGCGCTGCATGCATGCATGCATGCATAAATAAATAAAATTAAGTTTTTCTGGGAAGAACCTGTGAAAAGACAAGTCACAACTGGGAGAAAACATCTGCTAAACACTAGTCGACCAAGGGCCAGCACCACTCAATGCAGAGCTCCCAGAAACCAAGGAGAAGAGATGGACAGGCCAGCAGGGCGGGGGTGAGGGCTCCAAAATCAGGAGAACGTCCCCATCACAAGAGCCCACCAGCAGGCTTCGTGGTGGGAACTTGTACACCAGGAAACGGGACCCACTCAGGGAAGGAGGGAGTTCAAGCACACGGGCCTCTCTGCAGGACCCCAGCGTTGGGCCCAGAGCCAAGAAACGAGCACCTGTCCTGCGTGGCCGCAAATAGGGAGAAAAGGCAAGGGGTTGATGGAGAAAACCGCTGGGACGGCAGTCACTTGGCAGGGATTGGGGGATGCAGGGCCGGCGAAGGTGCTTCTGGGCGGCCTTGTCCCCTGCAGCTCTCATGGGAAATGCAACCTGCCTCATGGGGCACCATCGCTGCCACCTCCCCCGACACCCCAGGCCTGGCTGGAGGTGGCCCTGTTGTCTCCTGTCCCCGCCCCCATGTGGATCACTCTCCTGGCCCCCCAGAGCGGCAGTCATCACCTCCCGTCCTAGCCCGCAGCTTCCTGGTGGACACAACATACCACCTCCTGACCCTGGGGCTGTCCCAGCCACACATGCCCTAGCCTGACACTCACCAGCTTCACGCAGATGACAAAGGGTGGCTGTGCGGCTCGGAAGTGCAGGACCGGGACCCGGGGCTTGGGCCTTTCCTGAGAGGAGAGAAGGGCCACAGGCTGCTCCACCTTGCTCCCCAGTCCCCCACCTCTGCCCTGCTCAAAGCTCGATGCCCTCAGACAGGCGTCTGGGCCACAGCCAGACCCAGGGCTGGACCTGGTCTCCAGCACCTCCACCCAGCCACCTATGGCTGCCACAGGACTAACCTGAGGTGGGCAGCGGACAGACCCAAGCCTGCAAGGAGCACCTTCCAGTAGGGACAGGGGCAGGTGGGGGCAGGCATGGGTGCCCTCTGGGGTCCTGGAGACCCCAGGAGCCTGAGGGCTGCATCTGCCAGGCCTGGCAGCTGTCTGGGCCCAGATGGCCTTTCCCAAGGAGGAAGGTTCTGGGCAGTGTCTACTCAAAAGGCCCAGGACGGCGCCCCAGGGTGCAGTGTGGGCGGCTGCTGTGCATGACCATGGGGGCTCGGTGGGGAGGGGGCGCACCTGAGAGTCCTCGTAGCAGTAGAAGCCCTTCTTGATCTTGTTCTCGTCCACGTCGCAGAAGGCGACCACCTGGGGAGGACCCAGGACGCCAGCCTCAGGGGCAGTGGGGGCAGTGCTGCTGGATGGGGGAGGGGTGGGACAAGGGGTGGGCCCCACCTTGCACCGTGACCCTGCCGTCAGGCTGCGGTAGAGCCGGCGGCCCTGCCGGCCCGCATTCCAGATGGTGAAGGTTGCCCAGTGGGGCAGGGCCCACTCTTCCAGGAAGCGGACGCGGTGGGTCCAGATGGTGGTCCTGTGGGGCATGGGGGTTTGGGGGTCATGACCCAGGAGGGCAGGGCCTCCAAGCGCCCCAGGCCTTCCTCCCCCCACCCCTGAGCCTGCCCACAAGTCCCCCTGGTTTGGGGCCCCTGGGGCAGCACTGCAGCTGTTGGCTGAGTGACTGAACCAAGGAGGCCAGGACCAGAAGGTCGCACCCCTCACCCACCCTCACAGCCGGTGCACATGGATCCTCGGACGCTGAGCTCACGTCCACACACTCAAGAAGCATGCGGGACACCAGGCACAGAGCTTGGGGAGCCCAAGGAAAACCCAGCCACGCTGACGTCCGGCACCTACGACCATGGTAAACATGACCTGGACGTGACTCCCCACCTCGAGCGGCCACATGGAAGGGGCCACAGTGTCCTGTGGAAGCTGTGCAGATGGTGGGGTCACCTTCCCCAGGTGGGACCCCCTCCCTTGGCCCCTTGCCACATGCAGACCTGAGGTCCAGGCTGGCCCTTGGGGTCTGCAGCTGCCCGAGTCCCAGTGCCCGGAGACAACAGCATGTCAGCTGTCTCCAGGTTAAAGTGGTTGGACACAGGGACAGGACCCAAGGCGCAGGTGTGAAAGCATCACTTAAGAATCGGGAAGGTTAAGGGGGAGCTTCTGCAGGTACACAGTGGACCAAACTTGACCCTGGTCTTCCTTTCCAGAGAAACCTCTGATGTAAGGAAGGGTGGCACACCCTTGTATAAAATCACAGTTTACACCTGGAAGTGCCCTCCGTGGACCCTCTCACGGAGCCCCAAGACCTACTGTTCTAGGCCAGGCGCAGACCTGCTGCAGCTCCCCCACGTTCTACAGTGTGGGTTCAGTTCCTTCCTGGTGTCTGGCCCGGGGCTCTGTGTGGCAAGTGTTGAACCCGTGGTTCAGCAGCCACTGCCCTGCTGCCTTCTCCATGGCAACCAGCTTTGAGGGTCCCACAAGGTATCTCAGGGGAGCAGCTCCTCCAGGTGAGAGCGTGGGGTCCATGGACACAACACAGTGATGCCTACTCTAATGCAACTGGGCACCAGTGTCCGCCTGCCCAGGGGTGGGCTCTGAATGCTGGGCTGCTCCTGTGGTTGGTCCACCCACCTCCCACTTGAAATGTCTCAATTAGGGTTGTGCTGAGCAGCCATAATTTCAGTGGTCGGGGGGTACTGGGGTTTGCGAAGGTGAAAAAGGTGAATAACTCCCCAGTCTGGGCCATTCAGCACAAGCTAGACACACTCCAGCCCAAATAAGACACCATCAGGTGCAGCAGTCAACACGCAGCTTTGGCAGCATCCAAGGAACGAAGGACAATTCTGAGAACAAAACAACTGAACTTCCTGCAAATGAGCTCTGACAAACCCATGAGACGCTGACAGTGAGGAAGAGATGGGGCAGGCCCCGGGTCCCCACCAGCAGCGGGACCTGCGCCACGCTCCAGGCCCTGCCTGGGACCCCAGGGGGTGCGCCTACCACCACAGGGGCAGCAGGAGATAAGGGACCACAGACATCTGGGCAGGTCTCGCCCTCTGCTCCACGGTTTCCTCTCCGGCTCCTACTTTTTAAATTACTTTTGTTGGCAAAAGGTCTGGCCGCTTCTATGACTTAATTGCTTCTCTCCTTAACCAGTCAACTCTCTTCAATTTCATGAACAATTCAATGAAACTGCCCCCAAAAATGCCCAAAGGTTTTGGGGACACTTACAAGGAAATGAAATGGCCCAACGAGGACTCCACTTAATGCTCAGGGACCAGGACAGTGTGGGGCCCGCACCAGCGTGACCACCAGACGCAGGGGTGACGGGCCGGGTCTGAGCAGCACAGGGTGCCTCACCTGGAGACGGCGCCTGTGGGAGGGACAGAGCTGACCCCCACCTCCCACCGCCCGCGGAGTGGATCTGGAGGGACTGTGGGTCCTGGGGGTACAGCCCCTGCCTTGCTCCCTCCCTGTGCCTCCGGAGTCTGGTCTCTGGTGTGAGGACACAACTCAGAAACTGCCACCAATACCTCCGTGTTGTGGACAGTGAGACCCGTTGTGGACAGTGAGACCCTTCCTGCCGCCGCTGTCCTGCAGGTCCCCTTCTCCACCGTGCTGCTCAGTTATTTATTCGGGAGAACAGCCCAGGTGTGTCCTTCCTGCCACTCTTACCCCTGCGAGGAGGCTCCACTGAGGGCTGGGTGTGTGGGAGCTGCTCACAGGTTTCCTCAGACCCACAGGTCGGCATTTCCAGAACCTTCTGGAAAGCAGGGCAGTGTCAGGGATGCACACTGCACCAGGAGGCAGCAGGCCGGAGGGTGGGGGCGGGGAGCAGTGACGTGTGTGGACCCTCAGCAGCAGGATGGCAGGAAGGTCCACGCGGTGACGAAGACAGAGGAGCAACGTCACCACACGGAGCTCAGCCCTGAGGGTGAGCAGCATAGCGACTTCGGGAAGAATGAGGCAGAACGTTGCCACCGACACCACATTTTTAAAGAGGGAAAGCACACTGTTTAGAGGACATCACGTGTGGTCAAAGTATAAAGAAATGGATCTTATGGCAAATAAACATCCCACTCAGGACACCACGAAATGGAACCAGGGAGATGCAGGAGGTTTGGGGAAATGGGTAACTTTTTGTTTTAAAGATGATTCCTTATGCCTCTGGCTGTCGGAAGTATTTCATAGTGAAAATTGTTAAATGATATAAATGCTGATCATTCTCAATTTAAAAGGTAAAGGCCATGATTCAGGGAGCCTCTCAAACAGAGGGCTCTTTAAGAGAGAGTTTGAAGGAATTCAATTATTGACAAGCCTGAGAGTGTAATTAGCGCTCCTTGCTCTGTGAGGTTTTGCTGCTCAAAGACTTTAATCCAACACAGAAACTAACATGAGATCACCTCTTTTACGTTGTGGGTGGCAAAGCCTCACACTGCAAAAAGAGGGAAAAAAAAGTCTCAACATAAAAGAATTATCGCATGAAAACAGAATGAGGGTGTGTGTAGCACAAGCCGTCTGGCTGGCTGCCTGGCCCCCCAGATACATGAGCACCCGCCACACCATGGGTGGGGAGCAGGGCACCACCAGGGTCATCACAGACATGCCTTCACGTTGCCTTGCTTCACAGGAGCTCAAGGTGAGGACACATGTACGTGAACCTTCAGGAACAATGGAAGAGATCCTAGTTGTCCAGCGGAGCACAGGCTCCGGACGCACAGGCTCAGCGGCCATGGCTCACGGGCCCAGCTGCTCCGTGGCATGTGGGATCTTCCCGGACCGAGGCACGAACCCGCGTCCACTGCATCGGCAGGCGGACCCTCAACCACTGTGCCACCAGGGAAGCCCGGTTAACGACATTTTTACCATTTCACTTCCCCTTCTGTTAACTTCCTGCAGTTTTCCTGCTGTTTGTTAGTGACTGCCCATCAGGACAGCATTCCTTCCCCACGTACGGCAGTCAGGACGGGTGGCACCGGGCAGAGGGCTCTGGCTGCGGTGCCCTTCCTTCCCAGGGCCCAGATGGTCATGGCCTGCCTTCCGTTCGGCCGCCTCTCTCTTCATTGTCCTGCAGTTCTTCACTGTGCTCTTAAGTCTCTGTTCTCCTTGTGGCTAAGTTATTTCTGAGGTGATGCCTTTTTCCCCCTTTCCTCCCCCCCGACCATGCTGTACTAGTGTCTGCCTTGCCTGGCCCTTCTCTTGGGCCCCTACAGGACCCCCTCAGATGCGGGCTGAGGGCAGCTCTGGTCGGCCCCCAGGTGACACTGTGGGTGACAGGGATGGCAGGCCAAGTGTCAACTCTCCCCTCTCCTTGTGTGACGGCCACACACAACACTGGCTTCCTAAGGAAACGTGCTTTCTACATTAGGAAAATGTCGCACAGATGGATGAAGTTGGGGGGACAGTATAGTCACCCTCCCCACCTGCTTGCTGCCCAGAGGTTGTGTTGGCCACGGGGCTCCTGGCACGTTCGGGGAAGCGGCACAGATGCAGTTTCCTGCAGGAAGCGTGACCCAAGGAGGGCTGGGGAGACGGCGCTGACCGGCCTGACCCTGTCATGTGTCCTCCACAGCCCAGTGTCCGCTGAGGCCAGTCCGGGAAGCTGAGTCCTTGCCTCTGCCTGCCTGGGAGGAGGAGCCCAGGCATGGTCGGCATGGAAGACCTGGACGGACGGCGGCGGTCTGGCTGGTGCGTGAGGGCCCTGGAGTTCGTCACCTGGAGGTGGCATTTCCTTCCATGCATGCTGTGCCACAGTGACCTGGGCTGTTGGTGCATTTGTCCTATCTCTAACCTGTGTCTTACTTATAAAATCACGTGCTGAGCAGCTCTGTATCTGCCTGTGCCTGACACTGCTGCCGGCGGGGGAGCTGGAACCAGAGGGGGTTGTAGGCTCCTGCACCGAGGCCCGCTGGGAGGGGTGGCCCTGGGGGGGACAGGCCGGTTGCAGCCTCCCGTGTGCTGTCCTGTCGCCACATCCACCATGGCCTTGTTGGGCTTGCTCGTAGCCGCTGACAAGCTCTGAGCGACTCACGTTACATGTCAGATGCTGCAGGGGCAGAGAAGGTGCCATGCCTTGGGGTGGGGGTGGGGGTGGGTGCCGTTGAGCGCCGCCTCCGGGTCTCTTTTGCAGTGCGGGTGGGGGCTGTCTTCCCTCCTCACCCCATTCTAGTGCCCAGCGCGCATGGCGGTCGCACGCACGTCACCTGCCCTCGTGCAGTTTCATTCAGTCAGAAAGAGCCAACCTGTGTTCTCAGAATCCCACCAGGACCAGTTCAGCCACACAGGGGACTTGTGACAGCAGCTCAAACCCTCAACGGAAGCAGGGCACGGTCAGTGGCTTCATAGATCTGCCGACATGTGGCCTCCAGGAAGTGGTTCTCTGGTGACGGGAGAAGAACCACATTGTCTGAACCTTTTTTTTCATTTGTCCAGAATGGGGTACACACTCAGGGTTTCTGAAGCAAAGACAGGCTGCTTTTGTCCACATGGGCTGGCACTCATGCTGGCCTGTTCAGGGGCCAGTGAGGCCGATGTGTGTAAAGGTTCCCCACTTGAGCACCTGCGTGGCCAGTCTCAGTGCTGAGGGGTCAGGCCGCCTCCTGCGGGAGCCTTTGTGTGGCAGGCTCCTGGTCCATCCCCACCCTTCCACCTGCTGCTTCATGGGTTGAGGTCTGGATGCAGGACAGATGTGGATGGGCAGGTAGAACATCTGAGGTGAAGTCGTCCAGCCATGGGCCCAGGACAGTGTTCCTGCACCTGGGCCACGGGACAGACCGCCCCTCCTGGGACGTGCGCGCCCACGGGTCCATGGCTGGAGGCCATGGTAGGTGGTGTCGGTACAATCCTGAGACGGGTTTTCCTGCTGCCTTTGCTAAGTGAGTTTCTCCTGCTCCAGTTGAGCCAGTGGACATGCCGGGAACGCTGACCTTCCCTGAGAGTGGAAGCCCATGTTAGTCTTGCATGAGGTTTTAACTTTAATTTCATTTAAGCCTTAAAACATGTCTCCTCTTGAAAATAAGTAGAGAGTTTTCCATTTTCAATGGAAGAACAGCCAGAGGCCCCATAGCTGGTGGACGTTGTCACGTGGTGAGGGGTCCTGGATGCCCAGGCAGCCTCAGGCCACATGAGGCCATGCTGGTTGGAAGGCTCTCCTGCAGGGTGGCCACAGGAGGCCCCACTTGTATCCCTGTAGCAGGCGGGGTCCACAGAGCAGCACATAGACCTTGGCTGAGAAAACCAAGCAAGGCGCTTTTGAGAAGGAATAAAATGAAATGTTTTTAGCATAATTTTTAAAAAACACCAAGATTCCAGAGACATGGTCTCTGAGACATGGAGACAGGCCAGTTTACCACACTGATGATACTGTGTCATGAAGCAATTCTTCTTCCGTTGCTGGTCTACCTTTGCAACCCGAGGAAAACCAACAAAGCCGGCAGTGTCCAGCTGCCCCTGCACACCTTCGGCCATGTCAGATCCTACTGGTCAGCACCTGTTCTCATCAGGCGTCTGGTGGCTGGGAACCTCCTCCTCCATTTGGAGCCCATCTGGGTCCAGGTGACGGCTTTGTGGGGAGCCCCCCCTCACGACTGACGACGTGGCCAGAAGCAGACAACAGCAGAGGTGGACATCGTGGAAAGCAGTGGTCTGAAGCAATTCAGGGTGGGTGGACAGTGCTGGGCTGCCACCTGGTAGAGGGAGTGGTCAGGAGACACCCCCGCCCCCGAAAGGGGCAGAGAAGGGCACCTGTGGCCCCAGTGGGAGTGAGGTGGGTGGGTCTGAAGAGCCGCAAGAAGCCTCGTGCCTGAAACAGGATATGTGAGGGCAGCGGTGTGGCCGTGAGCATATGGCCATGTCCCAGACACAGAGTGAACCATCCCAGTGAGCAGGTCTCTGGCGTCCCCAGGATCCATGTCTGCTGAGCCCTGGAGGCTGGCTGGGAAGTGTGGATGTGATAGCATAAGGCCCAGGGCCAAATCTAGTAGCAGACCCCACATGCAGCTGGGGCCCTAAATAGCTGTACCCTCAGCAGCAAGGAGAGAGGGAAGTAGGTCCCCACAGGAGCACATCTGTCTTGGTCTCTGCCCGGTGCTGGTGGAGAGGAATGTGATCACAATGGCCCCTGACCAGTGGTGCTGACAGACACTGGGCAGAGGAGGCAAACAAAACCCTCTCTGGAAGGATGCAGGCTGAGCCCTACAGAGAGAAGAACATAAGCTCACATCCCCAAATTGCACAAAATGCACAAAGAAACAAGGCACCATTAGCAAGACCTTAGTAAAATCAGACCCCAAAAGACACAGAATCTAAAATGAATTTAGTTTTGAAAAGGGTTAGAAATTATCAAGAGGAAATTAGGGGGGAAAAGGCTCAATGGATGAATTAAACAACCATCTAGACATGGCTGAAGAGAGAATTGGGGAACTGGAAGATCTGAAGGAGTTTTATCCAGAAAAACAACTGGAAAAATATGAAAACAAAGTCAAGAGACACCAGAGAACCTGCCCTGTGTGTGGCTGGGGTCTCGGGAGACGGTGCCACATACTTGGTGATAGAAGCAAGATCCCAAACAGGACAAGCTCACGTCTGGACACGTTGCAGCGGAACTGCTGGGAGACTGGGTGGTCCAGGCAGCTGCCCCTCTTGGATGGCAACAGTGGACTTAACACTGGAATGAGATCCTCATCGAGCTGAGAGAAAACAATTTGCCTCGGCTGGACTGAAGCTAGTTCAGCTGTCATTCAGGGAAGAACAAAATAGGTCGTTACAGATAAAACAAACCTCCTTAATGCCACTGGTTTCCAATCTTGACACTGTTGACATTTGAGGTCGAATAATTCTTAGTTGTGGGGACCGTCCTGTGTGTTGCAGAATGTTTAGCAACAACCTAGATGCCGGTAGCAAACCCCCTTCCCAGTCATGATGACAGAAATATCTTCAGGCAGATTCTGGGGGCAGATTCTAGTGGATAAAGCGTAGGGATCATTTTCCTGCTGCCAGGTGAATGCAGGTGCAAGAGACAATGTTGGGCAGAGAAAACTATAAACAACAACCATGTAACAAAAAGAATAACGGCTAACATACAGATTTTTAAAAGCACGTAGAATTTCTTTTTAATGGACAATAGTAGCATACAGTATAAAAATAAACGTGCATTTTTAGAAGGTCCTGTAGCCAGAACACTGATCCTCTTGCCTCTGACCAACACCTCGTGTGCTTTGGGAAGGGTCTTCCGAGACTCTGCATGCAGAGACCCTGATGCTTTTAAATCACCAGAGCAGGGAATTGTGACTCAGACGTGACTCCACAATGAGGCCACTCCTGATTGTTCAAGCCCCCTGACCCTACTCGGACCCAGGAGTTACCACCTTGTTCACATAAAGTTAGGGCAGGGCTCCCATCAGTGGGAGTCATCACTCAACTCCAGCATTAATGGCACCAGTGATTCAACACATCAATGATTTGTTCTTGGACCAAGGAGACAGGCCCCCGGGGGTAGCAGCCGTGCGTCACCTTTAGGGAAAAGCCATTGGCCTCCTGGGACCGAGAGACCAAATGCACAAAGGGACAACTCCAGACCGTGTCTCAACATAGAACTGTGTAGCCACTGGTCCCCAATGGCCAGGACGTGGTCACAACTGCCAGCTTCCCCAGTTCTAGCCATACATCCAACTTAGGACCAATCGGAGAAGGAGACTCACTCCCCTGACCGCTCACGCCCATGGCCCCCCGCCAGGCACAGCGGGGCCTCCCCCTCCACCCGCAGGTCTCTGCTGTGCTTGGTGAGGGGTCAGCTCCCCACCAGACAAGCTGTGAGCACTCAGCCCCTGTCCCCAGGGTGGGCCTTGTCTAGTTCCATGTCTCTCACACATGCGGCCCCCACATGGATGGAGCCAGCCACCCACCCAGACACGGACCAGACTTTCCACAGTGGCCAGAGCTGGGAACGAGGCAGGCGTTGGGGAGCCGTGCAGTGACTAGAGCGAGTGACTAGAACGTCTGCCACAGACACGAGGGAGGCTCTCTGGGGAGGGTGCATTGTGCGGCCACGCCCTCTGCTCCATGTCTCCGTCTGTGGTATCTGTACACACGTGTGGACACGTGTCAGAGATACACGGTGGGGTGTGGACAACACCCCTCAGGCTTGTGCTCACGGCTGTGTGCTTTACCACACGTAAACCACACCCGATAAGAACACTAAGACGTGCCCTCCTGGTGAAGGGGATTTGAGGGGCATCTGGGTGTCACCCTCCACCGGGCACGTTCCCCACCGGGGGCCACGGGGCCATCCTTCCCTACTTGCTCTCGACCCTGGGCTGCGGCTGCTGGGGGCCCCGTACATACCTGGGAGCAGCTGCCATGGGTCTGTCAGCTGAAGTGAAGGAAATCCCGGCCCTCTTGCAGGTGCAGTGACCTCAGATTGTCTTCAAATGCGCCCCCTGTGAGGTCCTGGGGGAGAAGCGACAGGTCTGGCTCTATCCAGGCCTCCCCTGGCCTGCACTGGGGACCCCAAGAGCCTCCCTTGGGGGCCTGGGGTTTGGGGTTGCCTGTGGCCACCTGTTAGGTGGTCCACTATGAACTTCTGCTCCACTGCTAAAAGGAGAGGATCCAGAAGGAGAAAAGTGCTGGAAGGGAACCTGTTGGCAGTTGGCCACAATGTCCCATAGGTCACCAGGGAGGCTGGGGGCAGGGGGTCCTCTGAGGTGCCTCCACCAGCCTGGCCTCGGCCCCTCCCCGCAGGAGGCAGCTGGCCCCCCACAGGGACTCGGGGGAGGAGGTGAGGCTCTCATGGGCAGTCCCTTCCGCTCATTTCTTGGTCCAGGGCAGAGCCAGCTTCCCCTGTCCTGACTGATCCTGGGGTCTCCATGGTGGCCCCCTCGCCCCACCCCCATGGCCTCTGCAGGGCCACAGGTGGGAGGCAGCCCTGGGGACAGAAACTGTGACCTAAGAGCCAGCTGCTGGCAGAGCCCCTCCCGCCTCCCGCTCCGTACCCACCCCCACGGCCGAGACAGGAGGCAGTCCCTGCCCACGTCTTCCCTGTACCCTTGTTGGTGCGGGACTTGGGGGTGGGTCCCCAAACTCTTCAGCTGGGCCTGTGCACTGGTGCTGCTTCGGCTGCCCTCCTGTGCGGGGCCACGGCGGGGTTTCGGGAAACATCTGCAGGCTCCTGTCCCTCGTCCCAGCACCACCTGCCAGGTCCCCTCCTGCCTCCATAACCAGCAAAGCGGGGGCCTCTCTGCCAGGATGTGGGAGGGGCTGCCTGACCACCACATTCCTTCCTGTTGGGTGTCATCCGTCTGTCCTTGGGCCCAACACAGGGAATCACCCTTGTCCTGGGCTGTTTCTGCTCCTCTTACTGCTGTTACCTGGGCTTTGCTAGAAGTATTTAAATGAAAACCATTCTACCTGGAAAACACCTGAAATTTCCACATTCTGTCCTCTACCTGCTGTCTGTTCTTAGCCTCCGTTTTCTCCTCCCATTATCTCTCTGCTTCCAAGTTTTCAAAGGAAATACACGTGGGTTCAGGGCCAGCCCAGCCACAGACCTGGGCTTGTAAAGGGGCCACCAGGAAGGTACTCATGTGTCCATGAGTGGACACACCCCCTTAAGAGAATTAAAAAGGTCAGACGTGAAACCAACAAGGACTAGAACCCAGAGGGTACAGAGGACTCTTCGGGTCAGGAGAAGACGCACAATCCCACGGACAAGAAGCTGATCAGAAACATCAGGACACAGGAAATCCACACGCCTGACAGATGCGGGAAAGGTCTTGGCCTCAGCAGGGATCAGATGGAAATGAACCCCACCGTCCAGTCGTGAGGCCTAGAGGGACCCCTCCCTCCCTGCCTCTGGGCGTGTCCCCTGGCCTGGCCTCCTGGGCGTTGTCTAGTGAAGCAGAAGACATGGCTACCCCACGACCCGTGAAGAGCGTCAGGACCCTCCATGAGAAGCTCTGGTGTGATGCCCACGGCTGGGTCCCGAAGCGCCAACGGGAAGAGGAAAGCAGGTCTCAAGCATGACGTGGAGGAGACCGGACCCCCAGAAACACAGCCAACTCTGTCACATGGCCTGCAGACATGCACTCCACACCAAACGGATTAGCGGAGCAAGTACAGAATCGGGCGGCGCTGGGGGAGGGCATGTCGCCCGTTAAACTGTGCAGCCGGTTCTGGAACAGAGGCTGCAGAGTTTTCTTAAAGGGCAGATGGTTAGCATTTACGGCTTTGTGGCCATACGTCCTCTGTGTTCTAGTAAAACTTTATTTACAGAAGCAGCTGGTGGGCCACACTTAGGCCATTTTCCGAAGGTGTTAAGAATTCACAATAAAGTTTATTCAAACAAGAAAAACGTGAGAAAGGTTCTAAAAAGAATAATGAAGGAAGACTATCCTTACTCAGTGGTGAACATCATAAAGCTATAGTCAGCAATGGTGCATGACAGATGCGTAGAAAAAGGCCAAGACTCCAGAAACAGCTCCAAATCCACATGCATACCCAACACACAAAGACGCCATTTCCTGACTGGAAAAGATGAGGGTTTCTCACCAAATGATGTTAGGACCACTGAGGATCCAAACAGAAAGAAAAAAGTCTGGATCCCTATGATAATCTTTATAACAAAATAAATTCCAGTTGTACCAAAAATATAAGGAAAAAACAGGAGTCTGAGGACCAGACTTGGATAATGTTTTTTTAAATATCACAGTGAGAAATGATTGTCTTAGAATGAATAAAACCCCCAAAAGCCATAAAAGGAAAAATTAATTTGATTATATCCAAATAACAAACTTCTAAATGGCAAAAGATATAAATTCAGTTAAATGACACAGAAAAATCTGCAACATCACAGACAGTAGTTTGTTTCTGTTACTGTATAAAGAAAAATACTGAGAGACCAACAGAGAAATGGGCCAATGAAAAGGATAAGGTACCAAAAGGGAAATAAAGATGAATACAAATACATGAAAAGATGCCCTCCTTACTCACAATATGACATTGCCAACTGGAACCATAAACTTACTGTTTTTCACCTGTGGTTTGCAAAGGTGGAAGGTTTGGTCACACCGCTGGAGAAGGGTCATGGTGGGGGCAGGGTGTGTGAACTGGCTCAGCCTCCAGGGGCAGAATGGCTGGTCTCACGACTGATGGTGGGCACATTCTTTGACCAGCACCTTTCAGACACTTATCCCATATGTGTAGCCACTTGAGCAAAATTATGCACATATAAAGATACCCACGGCAGCATTATTCCTAACGGTGAACAGTAAAACTGGCCTAAAGGCACATCGGTAAGTAACTGGATAATAAATGTATGAAACACCCAAATAATCGAGTGGGATGCAGATATTTTTTAAGTGAGGTACATGAATCCCTCAGAAGCTCCTGCAGCCAGCGATGAAGGTGTTCCTGCGAGCAGAACGGACCCTGGACCTGAGCCTCGGGAAACACGTTAAACCACAAGCCGGTTTCGTCAACAAACAGATTGTAAGAAAGTGAGGGAGACAAAGGTCACACTGGGTCTGCATTCCAACAGGCAAGTATGAAAAGATAGAACACGTCTACAAGGCAGTTAGAGAGATTTCAACACTGATGGGATATCTGGAAATTTGGGGTGACATAGTGGTATTATGGTAGTTTTTTAAGCTTTTAATCTTTTCAGGAAACAATATTGAAGAAATGAGGCTAGAATTTGCCTCGCTCCCAGGTTGGGGGAGTTGGGGCTTGGGGCTGGCTTCTTTGCTTTGGCTGAAACGTGCTGGAAAGTTTCCTTCATAAAAAGATAAGAGTTGGGTGGCACCAGCGGATTTATATGGAATTAACTCCAAGATATACTATTATGTGAAAAAAGAGAAATAAAGAAGTATGTATAACATGCTGCTGTTTGTTAAAAAGAAAAATCACATACACCTTTGTGTTTCTACCTCTAGACCCTCTAAGGAAACAAAGCGGGTGACAGGGATGGGTTCCTTCCCACCCAAAGTCTGCTCTCTGGGAAGGGTTTGCATGGGTGGGGGTGTTCCCTTCGTGGCAACTTCAGGTCCCTGAGAAGCAGACCCTTAAGAGAGCCTATCTCTGAAAAGCTAGGTATCATTTGTGCAGAATTAAAACACTCATTTTACAACGGCTCCTTGCAGCCCCATAGTCATTCATCCAATTCCCCTGGCAACTTGAACATTGTTTGTCTTGGCCTCTCAGGAAACTGCTTTCAAACCAGGAAACCCAAAGCCAGGTGGGTCTGTCCCTGTGGCAGGCAGGCCCCAGATGGCCACGAGCCTGCCTCATTGCACCCACATCCCGTGGAACCCCCTTCCCTGGTATGTCACTTCTGTGATTAGGTCACACGTTAGTGTGACGTATGTCTTGCTACTGACCCTGCCCCTTGCTGGCTTTCACAGAATAAGCTGCCATGGTTGGTGGGCCTGCAGAGCAAACAGCCGGCAAAGCACTGAGGCCCTCGGCCAACACCCTGGAGATCTGACTCCTGCCAACGACCATGAGAGCTTGGAAGCAGGTCTGCCCCAGGTGAGCCTCTTGATGAGACATCATCACCGGTAGACACCACCACGCTCACCTGAAGCTGAAAGCCACCTGTGGTGCCTGGACTTATGACCCACAGAAACGTGAGGAAGTAAACATGTGCTGTTTGAGGCTAAGTTTGTAGTTTGTTATGTAGTGACGGTTAAATAATGCAGGTTCAAGCTGGCAAGCAGTCAAACAGAAGAAAACCTCAAGGTGACACGTTGGGACTGGAGCCACCCGGCTGCCTGGCCCTGGGACACTCAGTGTACAGCCACCTGCAAAAGCACAAAGCTGGCCCTTACCTGACCCCACACACAAACAGCAACTCAAAATGGGTCCAAGACCTACATGAAGGAGCTGAAACCATAAAACCCTTAAAAAAGCACAGGGGTAAATCTTCATGACTCTAGATTGGGTGGTGGTTTCTTAGCCATGACACCCAAAACAGAAATCAAATTACAAATAGATAAAATGGACTTTGTCAAAGTTAAGCACTTTTTGTGCATCAAAGGACACCGTCAAGAGAATGAAAAGACAGCCCACAGGATGGGAGAAAATATTTGCCAATGCATCCAGTTGGGGACTTGAGTCTAGAAATATAAAAACTCTGAGGACTCAACAAAAAGACAAACAGCCCGATTAGAAAATGGGTGAAAGACCTGAACAGACACTTCTCCACAGGAGGCAGACAAGTGGCAAACATGCTCCACGTCCTCCGTTGTCAGGGAGACGCAAACGGAAACCGCCGTGAGAGCCACTCATCCACCAGGATGGCCGTGACGAACAAACACGTCACAAGGTGGGCAAGGATACGAGAAACTGGAACCTTTGGGCAGCGGGGGGTGGGGGGGCATAAGTCACCCTAAGACCAGTGATTCCACCCCAGCTCTGCATCCGAGAGAACTGAAAACACGTCCACATGGAAATCTGACCTGAATTTTCACACGGCCTCATTCAAACTGACAAAGCCTGTTGTGCCCATGAGATTCTGTTCTGGTCCAAGTGTTCAGCTCACCTGTGGCCGTGCAAAGTCTCCACCAACTGAGCAGAGGAAACCACACCTCTACTGCCTCACAGTTTCTGTGGGGCTGGAGCTCAGGGCTGGGCCTGGCCATGCAGGGACCAGCTGGGACCCTGAGGCCACTCCTGGCGCCAGGCTCCTGGGGTCAGCCTGTTCTCACGCCCGTTTTCCCGGCAGTTGGGTGACTTCTCCAAAGTGGCAACTCAAGCGAGGGGCAGAATCAGGATGTTCTCCGGTCCTGCATGGGACCCCACCTGACCAACACGCTACAACGCCCGCTGTCCCCCGTGTCTGAGCTCGGGCCCCATGGGAGCACAGCCTCAGGGAGGTGACGTTTCCCATCAGGATGCACTGGCCTGGTGGGGCCCCTGTGGAGGCGCCTGGGCCACACGGCAAACCGCAATTAGAAGCTGTAACACCAGTCAGTGCAGAAGGGGGTCTGGGATCTTAAAAACAGCCACCAACAAAGGGCTCTCCCCTTCTCTGGCATCCTCCACATACACGTGGAGCAGGCCACCTTTGCTATGAAAGTGTGTAGGGGCTGCAGGCTCCCTGAGCCCAAGGCTTGGTGAGAGTCTGCACTTGATGTGGGGTGAGAGGCATGTTCTGCTTGGTTCCCCACTGCTATTGGCGAACGCTGGCAAATGAACATGCACCTGCTTCCCTTCCGCTAAAGCCACTGCCTCCAGGAAGGCCTCTGGCCTGGCACCCTGTTTACCAAGGTTTCAACCTCAGAGGCTGGAAACTGCTGGAAGTTTCAACTATGCATCATCCCACGTCCCCAGTGGCACAGCACAGGGACCTGCTCACCCATCCACTACTGTCCCCTCTTGACCCTTTGGGGCAGCCCCGCCCCACATGAGCCAACCTGGACCCTGTAGTCCTGGTGGATTAAGGACACTTTATACTTGCATTTGTGATAATCTTTCTGACCACGGGGAGGAATTTCCAAAACAGGAGGACACAAAGTGTTCATCACAAGAGAAAAATTGATAAATGTACTGTGTTAAAAATAAGCTTTTCACGGGACTTCCCTGGTGGTCCAGCAGGTAAGACTCCACTCTCCCAATGCAGGGGGCCTGGTCGGAGACCTAGATCCCACAGGCATGCCGCACCTAAGAGATCCCACATGCCACAACCAAGACCCAGCGCTGCATGCATGCATGCATGCATAAATAAATAAAATTAAGTTTTTCTGGGAAGAACCTGTGAAAAGACAAGTCACAACTGGGAGAAAACATCTGCTAAACACTAGTCGACCAAGGGCCAGCACCACTCAATGCAGAGCTCCCAGAAACCAAGGAGAAGAGATGGACAGGCCAGCAGGGCGGGGGTGAGGGCTCCAAAATCAGGAGAACGTCCCCATCACAAGAGCCCACCAGCAGGCTTCGTGGTGGGAACTTGTACACCAGGAAACGGGACCCACTCAGGGAAGGAGGGAGTTCAAGCACACGGGCCTCTCTGCAGGACCCCAGCGTTGGGCCCAGAGCCAAGAAACGAGCACCTGTCCTGCGTGGCCGCAAATAGGGAGAAAAGGCAAGGGGTTGATGGAGAAAACCGCTGGGACGGCAGTCACTTGGCAGGGATTGGGGGATGCAGGGCCGGCGAAGGTGCTTCTGGGCGGCCTTGTCCCCTGCAGCTCTCATGGGAAATGCAACCTGCCTCATGGGGCACCATCGCTGCCACCTCCCCCGACACCCCAGGCCTGGCTGGAGGTGGCCCTGTTGTCTCCTGTCCCCGCCCCCATGTGGATCACTCTCCTGGCCCCCCAGAGCGGCAGTCATCACCTCCCGTCCTAGCCCGCAGCTTCCTGGTGGACACAACATACCACCTCCTGACCCTGGGGCTGTCCCAGCCACACATGCCCTAGCCTGACACTCACCAGCTTCACGCAGATGACAAAGGGTGGCTGTGCGGCTCGGAAGTGCAGGACCGGGACCCGGGGCTTGGGCCTTTCCTGAGAGGAGAGAAGGGCCACAGGCTGCTCCACCTTGCTCCCCAGTCCCCCACCTCTGCCCTGCTCAAAGCTCGATGCCCTCAGACAGGCGTCTGGGCCACAGCCAGACCCAGGGCTGGACCTGGTCTCCAGCACCTCCACCCAGCCACCTATGGCTGCCACAGGACTAACCTGAGGTGGGCAGCGGACAGACCCAAGCCTGCAAGGAGCACCTTCCAGTAGGGACAGGGGCAGGTGGGGGCAGGCATGGGTGCCCTCTGGGGTCCTGGAGACCCCAGGAGCCTGAGGGCTGCATCTGCCAGGCCTGGCAGCTGTCTGGGCCCAGATGGCCTTTCCCAAGGAGGAAGGTTCTGGGCAGTGTCTACTCAAAAGGCCCAGGACGGCGCCCCAGGGTGCAGTGTGGGCGGCTGCTGTGCATGACCATGGGGGCTCGGTGGGGAGGGGGCGCACCTGAGAGTCCTCGTAGCAGTAGAAGCCCTTCTTGATCTTGTTCTCGTCCACGTCGCAGAAGGCGACCACCTGGGGAGGACCCAGGACGCCAGCCTCAGGGGCAGTGGGGGCAGTGCTGCTGGATGGGGGAGGGGTGGGACAAGGGGTGGGCCCCACCTTGCACCGTGACCCTGCCGTCAGGCTGCGGTAGAGCCGGCGGCCCTGCCGGCCCGCATTCCAGATGGTGAAGGTTGCCCAGTGGGGCAGGGCCCACTCTTCCAGGAAGCGGACGCGGTGGGTCCAGATGGTGGTCCTGTGGGGCATGGGGGTTTGGGGGTCATGACCCAGGAGGGCAGGGCCTCCAAGCGCCCCAGGCCTTCCTCCCCCCACCCCTGAGCCTGCCCACAAGTCCCCCTGGTTTGGGGCCCCTGGGGCAGCACTGCAGCTGTTGGCTGAGTGACTGAACCAAGGAGGCCAGGACCAGAAGGTCGCACCCCTCACCCACCCTCACAGCCGGTGCACATGGATCCTCGGACGCTGAGCTCACGTCCACACACTCAAGAAGCATGCGGGACACCAGGCACAGAGCTTGGGGAGCCCAAGGAAAACCCAGCCACGCTGACGTCCGGCACCTACGACCATGGTAAACATGACCTGGACGTGACTCCCCACCTCGAGCGGCCACATGGAAGGGGCCACAGTGTCCTGTGGAAGCTGTGCAGATGGTGGGGTCACCTTCCCCAGGTGGGACCCCCTCCCTTGGCCCCTTGCCACATGCAGACCTGAGGTCCAGGCTGGCCCTTGGGGTCTGCAGCTGCCCGAGTCCCAGTGCCCGGAGACAACAGCATGTCAGCTGTCTCCAGGTTAAAGTGGTTGGACACAGGGACAGGACCCAAGGCGCAGGTGTGAAAGCATCACTTAAGAATCGGGAAGGTTAAGGGGGAGCTTCTGCAGGTACACAGTGGACCAAACTTGACCCTGGTCTTCCTTTCCAGAGAAACCTCTGATGTAAGGAAGGGTGGCACACCCTTGTATAAAATCACAGTTTACACCTGGAAGTGCCCTCCGTGGACCCTCTCACGGAGCCCCAAGACCTACTGTTCTAGGCCAGGCGCAGACCTGCTGCAGCTCCCCCACGTTCTACAGTGTGGGTTCAGTTCCTTCCTGGTGTCTGGCCCGGGGCTCTGTGTGGCAAGTGTTGAACCCGTGGTTCAGCAGCCACTGCCCTGCTGCCTTCTCCATGGCAACCAGCTTTGAGGGTCCCACAAGGTATCTCAGGGGAGCAGCTCCTCCAGGTGAGAGCGTGGGGTCCATGGACACAACACAGTGATGCCTACTCTAATGCAACTGGGCACCAGTGTCCGCCTGCCCAGGGGTGGGCTCTGAATGCTGGGCTGCTCCTGTGGTTGGTCCACCCACCTCCCACTTGAAATGTCTCAATTAGGGTTGTGCTGAGCAGCCATAATTTCAGTGGTCGGGGGGTACTGGGGTTTGCGAAGGTGAAAAAGGTGAATAACTCCCCAGTCTGGGCCATTCAGCACAAGCTAGACACACTCCAGCCCAAATAAGACACCATCAGGTGCAGCAGTCAACACGCAGCTTTGGCAGCATCCAAGGAACGAAGGACAATTCTGAGAACAAAACAACTGAACTTCCTGCAAATGAGCTCTGACAAACCCATGAGACGCTGACAGTGAGGAAGAGATGGGGCAGGCCCCGGGTCCCCACCAGCAGCGGGACCTGCGCCACGCTCCAGGCCCTGCCTGGGACCCCAGGGGGTGCGCCTACCACCACAGGGGCAGCAGGAGATAAGGGACCACAGACATCTGGGCAGGTCTCGCCCTCTGCTCCACGGTTTCCTCTCCGGCTCCTACTTTTTAAATTACTTTTGTTGGCAAAAGGTCTGGCCGCTTCTATGACTTAATTGCTTCTCTCCTTAACCAGTCAACTCTCTTCAATTTCATGAACAATTCAATGAAACTGCCCCCAAAAATGCCCAAAGGTTTTGGGGACACTTACAAGGAAATGAAATGGCCCAACGAGGACTCCACTTAATGCTCAGGGACCAGGACAGTGTGGGGCCCGCACCAGCGTGACCACCAGACGCAGGGGTGACGGGCCGGGTCTGAGCAGCACAGGGTGCCTCACCTGGAGACGGCGCCTGTGGGAGGGACAGAGCTGACCCCCACCTCCCACCGCCCGCGGAGTGGATCTGGAGGGACTGTGGGTCCTGGGGGTACAGCCCCTGCCTTGCTCCCTCCCTGTGCCTCCGGAGTCTGGTCTCTGGTGTGAGGACACAACTCAGAAACTGCCACCAATACCTCCGTGTTGTGGACAGTGAGACCCGTTGTGGACAGTGAGACCCTTCCTGCCGCCGCTGTCCTGCAGGTCCCCTTCTCCACCGTGCTGCTCAGTTATTTATTCGGGAGAACAGCCCAGGTGTGTCCTTCCTGCCACTCTTACCCCTGCGAGGAGGCTCCACTGAGGGCTGGGTGTGTGGGAGCTGCTCACAGGTTTCCTCAGACCCACAGGTCGGCATTTCCAGAACCTTCTGGAAAGCAGGGCAGTGTCAGGGATGCACACTGCACCAGGAGGCAGCAGGCCGGAGGGTGGGGGCGGGGAGCAGTGACGTGTGTGGACCCTCAGCAGCAGGATGGCAGGAAGGTCCACGCGGTGACGAAGACAGAGGAGCAACGTCACCACACGGAGCTCAGCCCTGAGGGTGAGCAGCATAGCGACTTCGGGAAGAATGAGGCAGAACGTTGCCACCGACACCACATTTTTAAAGAGGGAAAGCACACTGTTTAGAGGACATCACGTGTGGTCAAAGTATAAAGAAATGGATCTTATGGCAAATAAACATCCCACTCAGGACACCACGAAATGGAACCAGGGAGATGCAGGAGGTTTGGGGAAATGGGTAACTTTTTGTTTTAAAGATGATTCCTTATGCCTCTGGCTGTCGGAAGTATTTCATAGTGAAAATTGTTAAATGATATAAATGCTGATCATTCTCAATTTAAAAGGTAAAGGCCATGATTCAGGGAGCCTCTCAAACAGAGGGCTCTTTAAGAGAGAGTTTGAAGGAATTCAATTATTGACAAGCCTGAGAGTGTAATTAGCGCTCCTTGCTCTGTGAGGTTTTGCTGCTCAAAGACTTTAATCCAACACAGAAACTAACATGAGATCACCTCTTTTACGTTGTGGGTGGCAAAGCCTCACACTGCAAAAAGAGGGAAAAAAAAGTCTCAACATAAAAGAATTATCGCATGAAAACAGAATGAGGGTGTGTGTAGCACAAGCCGTCTGGCTGGCTGCCTGGCCCCCCAGATACATGAGCACCCGCCACACCATGGGTGGGGAGCAGGGCACCACCAGGGTCATCACAGACATGCCTTCACGTTGCCTTGCTTCACAGGAGCTCAAGGTGAGGACACATGTACGTGAACCTTCAGGAACAATGGAAGAGATCCTAGTTGTCCAGGCACTTCTCAGCTCTGCAGAGGATCCCAGGTGTCCGGGCACTTCTCAGCTCTGCAGAGGATCCCAGGTGTCCGGGCACTTCTCAGCTCTGCAGAGGATCCCAGGTGTCTGGGCACTTCTCAGCTCTGCAGAGGATCCCAGGTGTCTGGGCACTTCTCAGCTCTGCAGAGGATCCCAGGTGTCTGGGCATTTCTCAGCTCTGCAGAGGATCCCAGGTGTCCGGGCATTTCTCAGCTCTGCAGAGGATCCCAGGTGTCCGGGCATTTCTTAGCTCTGCAGAGGATCCCAGGTATCCTGGCACTTCTCAGCTCTGCAGAGGATCCCAGCTGTTCCGGCACTTCTCGGCCCTGCACAGGATCCCAGGTGTCCCGGCGCTTCTCAGCTCTGCAGAGGATCCCAGGTGTCCAGGCGCTTCTCAGCTCTGCAGAGGATCCCAGATGTCCCGGCATTTCTGAGCTCTACAGAAGATTCGTGCCCAGAAAACCATCTTTGTACTTTATTCACCCAGTTTCCAACTCCGTTTATGGATTGTGGGAAAGTGGTTACTTCCTTGAAGAAACACTTGCCAGAAATTTTAAAAATTTTAATGAAATTCACGTAGAGTAAGAGCAAGGATCTTAAGTGTGCATACGAGTCAGACAGTTATGACAAACATGCATATCCGTGTAACCAACACACCTGTCAAGAGGTGGGACACTTCTACCACCCCAGAAAGATCTCTTGTATCTCCTTTCCCCTGAGAATACCACAGTCTCGTTTCTATCACTGTGGACTAGTTCTGCCTGTTGGAGAACTCTGTACAAGTGGAAGCCACAGTATGCATGCTTTGGTATCTGATTTCTTTGACTGACAATGTATCTTTTGGACATTAATCCCCGTTCTTGCAGGTATCAGTCGTTTGCTTTCTTCTAGTGCTGAGGAGTGTTCCGTTACAGCCGTGTTTATCCACCACCTGCTGATGGGCATCTGGGTTGTTCCCATTCTTGGCTACTAATAGAGAAATGTTGAGCAATCTATTAATTTCTCTTGGAGAAACACCTAGACATGGAATTGCTGGGGCATAGGGCAGGTATCAATTAAATTAATAAAATAAGGCCCAACAGTTTTCCAAAGAGGATGTACTGTGTGCTTACACTCCTGAGAACAATGTATACGTGTCCTCAGCATGATTTGGAATTGCAGACGTTAATTTTAACCCTTCTCGTGGGTGTGCAGAGCTTAATTTGCATTCTCTGATAATGATGAAACCTTTTTAATTGACCTTATATATTACTTCTTTGTGAAGTGTCATGTCCGTTCAACTATTTTGCCTACTTTTATTAGATTTTATTTTTGGGTGACAGGGGTTCTTAATATCTCCCCCATACTAACCCTCTGTGAGATATATAGATTATGAATATTTTCTCCCAGTCTGTGGTTTGTCTATTCATTTTCCTAATGGTGTCTTTTTTTAAAATTAATTAATTAATTAATTATTGGCTGTGTTGGGTCTTCGTTTCTGTGCGAGGGCTTTCTCTAGTTGCGGCAAGTGGGGGCCACTCTTCATCGCAGTGCGCGGGCCTCTCACTGTCGCGGCCTCTCTTATTGCGGAGCACAAGCTCCAGACGCGCAGGCTCAGTAGTTGTGGCTCACGGGCCTAGTTGCTCCGTGGCACGTGGGATCTTCCCCGACCAGGGCTCAAACCCGTGTCCCCTGCATTGGCAGGCCGACTCTCAACCACTGCACCACCAGGGAAGCCCCTAATGGTGTCTTTTTATGAGCAAAAGTTTTTAATTTTGATGAAGTCCAATTTATCAATTTTATAGCACTAAAGAGGGACTTCCCTGGTGGTCCAGTGGTTAAGAATCTGCCTTCCAATGCAGGGGACGCGGGTTCAATCCCTGGTCGGGGAACTAAGATTCCACATGCCGGGGCAACTAAGCCCCCGGGCCTCAACTACTGAGTTTGTGCACCTCAACTAGAGAGAAGCCCGCATGCCGCAACGAAGAGCCTATGTGCTGCAACTAAGACCCTATACAGCGCCCCCCCCCCAAAAAAAAAAAAAAAAAAAAAGGGCTAAAGATTCTGGTGTCCTCTCTAATAAATTTTTTCCTATCCCCAAGTTGTGAAGATATTCCCTGATGTTTTCTTCTAGAAGCTTTATATTTTACCTGCTTCTATATTTATATCTAAGCCATCTAGAATTAATTTTTCTATAGGGCATGAAATTTTTTTTTACATATGGATATCCATTTGCTCCACTTGTTAAAAATAATTTTCTTTTTTCCACTGAATGCCTTTGGAGACTGTTAAAAATCAATTGTGAGTCTATTTCTGGACTCTCTGCTCTGTTTCATTGATGTATATGTCTATCTTTATTCTATTAATACATTTTCTTGATTGCTATAGCTTCAGAGTGAGTCTTAAAATCAGGCACAATAAGTCCTCAAATTTTGTACTTTTCAAGATTGTTTAGGACACTCTGGGCCCTTTGATTTTCATGCGAATTTTAAAATCAGATTATCAGTTTCTACAAAGAAGCCACCTGGGACTTTTACTGGGATTGCTTTGAATTTACAGATCAATCTGGAGAGAACTGATGTTAACAATCCATGAATGTGGTGTATCTCTCCATCGATTTTATAGGTTTTCTTTAATTTCCCTCAGCCTTTTTTGGAGTAGGTTTTAGCAGATATAGACATACCTTACTAAACTTACTCAAAAGTATTTTATTATTGACGCCATTGTACATTTTTTAAACTGCATTTTTTCAGTTGTTCATTGCAATTCTATAAACTTCTATTCTGGAAAATTTGCTAAGTTACTGGTTTTGATTTCCTATGAAACACAATCATGCCACCTACAAATGATGCTAGTTTTACTTCCACTTTTTTTTTTTTTTAATTTTGAGCCTTCTTTTAATTTATTTTTGGCTGTGTTGGCTCTTTGTTTCTGTGCGAGGGCTTTCTCTAGTTGTGGCAAGCGGAGGCCACTCTTCATCACGGTGCGCGGGCCTCTCACTGTCGCGGCCTCTCTTGTTGCGTAGCACAGGCTCCAGACGCGCAGGCTCAGTAGTTGTGGCTCACGGGCCCAGTTGCTCCACGGCATGTGGGATCTTCCCAGACCAGTGCTCGAACCCGTGTCCCCTGCATTAGCAGGCAGATTCTCAACCACTGTGCCACCAGGGAAACCCACTTCCACTTTCTAATACTTATATTTTTTATTTTTCCTGTCTCATTGCACTGACCTCCATTACAATGTGGAATAGAAGTAGTGAGAGGAGTGATCAGATCGCTTCCTCCTGATCTTAGAAGGGAAAGCTTTCAGTCTTTAATGATTAAGTATGAGGTTAGTTATAGGTTTGAATAGATGCTATCAGACTGAGAAAGTTTCCCTCTATTTCTAGTTTGCTGAGTTTTTAAAAAAATCATGAATGGGTATTGAATTTTGCCCAATGCTTTTTCTGCATCTATTGCGTTGATTGTGTGATTTTTATCTTTTATTCTGTTACTGTATTAAATCATACTAATTGATTTCTGAATGTTAAACCAGACTTGTATTCATGATGTATTATCCTTTCATATATATTTCTGAATTTGACTTGGTAATATTTTGTGAATGATTTTTGCAACTATTTTCATAAGGGATATTTGTCTGTAATTTTATTTTCTTGTAATATTCTTGTAGCGTTTTTTACTTCAGAGTCATGCTAGTCTCACGGAGTGTGAAGCTCCTCCCTCCCAACACCCAACAGACCTTTCTCCTCTTCTATTTCCTGAAAGAATTTATGTTAGATTGGTATTATTTCTTCCTTACATTTTTGATAGAATATATCAGTAAAGCCATCTGGCTTGGCTTTTCTTTATGAAAAGCTTTTAAATTACTAATTAATTTTTAATTATTATTTATACCTTTTTTTTTTTTTTTTTTGGCCATGTGCAGGGCATGCAAGATATATTAGTTCCCCAGCCAGGGATTGAACCTAAACCCCCTGCAGCGGAAGCAAGGAGTCCCAACCACTGTATCGCCAAGGAATTCTCTATTATTTATACTTTAAATACCTACTGGATCTGTAATGATGTCCCCTCTTTAATTTCCAGTATATTGGTAACCTGTGTTTTCTTTTAAAAATCAATCTTGATAGAGGCTTGTCAATTGTACTGATTTTATTTCAAGCCAATTCTTGGTTTTGCTGATGTTTTTTCTACTGACTGTCCATTTTCAATTTTACCTTCTTCATTCCTTTCCTTCTATTTATTTTGAGTTTACTTTGCTGTTACTTTTGAAACCTTTAAAGGTGGAGACTTAGATAACTGCTTAGTTTCTTCTTTTATAATATAAAATTTTAAAGCTATAAAAACTTATTATAAACTCCGCTTTAGCTAAATTCCACAAATTTTGACATACTGTTTTGTCATCAAGTTAAATTTTTTCCCTAATATCCTTTGTGATTTTTTCCCTTGGTTGCTTAATTTCCAAATATTTTGTATATTCAAGATGTCTTAGGGCTTCCCTGGTGGTGCAGTGATTAAGAATCTGCCTGCCAAGGCAGGGGACACAGGTTTAAGCCCTGGTCAGGGAAGATCCCCCATGCCACGAAGCAACTAAGCCCATGTGCCACAACTACTGAGCCTGCACTCTAGAGGCTGCGAGGCACAACTACCAAAGCCCATGCACCTAGAGCCCGTGCTTCACAACAAGAGAAGCCACTGCAACGAGAAGCCTGTGCACCGCAACGAAGAGTAGCTCCCGCTTGCCGCAAAACTAGAGAAAGCCCGCACACAGCCACAGACCTAACACAGCCAAAAAAAAGAAAAAAAGATGTCCTAATGATTTCTAATTTATAAAACATAACCCGTATGCTTTCAATCATTTGAAATTTATTCAGATTTGTTTCTTGGTCCAAAGTAATGTCTATCTTGTACTTTAAAAGAATGCGTATTCTGCAGTTGACTCTAGTGTTCCTTAAATGTCTACTGTCATGTCGGTTAATGGTGTTGTTCAAACCTTCTGATCCTCACAGACTTCCCCACCCCCCAACTTCTATCAATTATTGAGATAGGAGTATTAAAATCTCCAACTCCAATCTCAGTTTTTGCCTCATGTATTTTGAAACTCTGGGATTAGGAATATACACATTTAGGATTGTTATGTCCCCATAGAAAATGACCTTTATTTACCCCATGTGTGCAAATCACACTTGCATTGAGTCAAGTTCATGACAACAAACTCCCAATGATGCTCCACTAAATCTACTGTATGAAAATTCAGACTTAACAGAAGAGAAATCAAGCTCTTTTGCTTAAAGCGGGAAAACAAAGAAGCTAAGTTTTAGTGTTGAATAGCACATGTGCAAAAGTTCAAGGATCTCCCAAGTCAATATGGATGCTGGGGGCTTCCCTGGTGGTGCAGTGGTGAGGAATCTGCCAGCCAATGCAGGGAACATGGGTTCGAGTCCTGGTCCGGGAAGATCCCACGTGCCACGGAGCAACTAAGTCCGTGTGCCACAACTGCTGAGCCTGCGCCGTACAGCCCGCAAGCCACAACTACGGAGCCCGCGTGCCACAACTACTGAAACCCGCACGCCTAGAGCCCCTGCTCTGCAACAAGAGAAGCCACCACAATGAGAAGCCCGCACACTGCAACGAAGAGTAGCCCCTGCTCACCGCAACTAGAGAAAGCCCGCGCCCAGCAACGAAGACGCAAGGCAGCCAAAAATAAATAAATAAATAAATTATATGGATGCAGCAATCTGGGACACCCCCCCCACCGACGACACATGCCCAAATCAGCATCACACCCACTGTGACAGTGCACATCACACCCACTGTGACAGTGGACAGGAGACCTCCCAGGACAGAAACTGAGAAACCACGCCTTCCAACGAGTCTCACACCCTCCAGGGGAAGAACAGAGTCTCTTCTACTTCCAGAAACACAAATGCATGTCCCTGCATCATGCTCTTTACAATCAAAAGATCCCCTGATCATAGACCTGTTTCAGGGCCCCATTCCTCCCTGTCCCCAAGAGAGCAGCATTACGGTAGCACCAAGGGGGATACATACTTGTAGTTGTTTGAAATGTAACACCCACACACATGCACAAACGTGCACACACAGACACACATGCGCACACACACACAGTTCAAACTAAAGAAAGAAAAGCACACCCCTCCCTTGCCTTCACCCTGCCTGTACTTTCGGCACCATCCCTGCCCTGTCCCTGGTAGTCGGCCTCTAGCCTTGGGGCCTGGGGGACGTGAGGGCCATGAGAGGGAGGGGGCTAGTGTCCTTGTGATGCCCCACAGAGGAAGCAACCCAACCTCGGTCCCAGTAGCCCTCCCCTTGGTGGGCGGAGAAGGAAGAGGGTGCCCCCAGCCCGCCTGTAATCACGTTAGCGGGGGGCTGGGCTCACGCTGAGAATCCCGTCAACTCAAAGCAGGTGAGAACAAAACCCCAAGAGAACAACTACACGTGAATCCTACCTCACTTCAAAAAGGTGAGAACAGACATTTGGCCTTGATCCTGGGGAAATGCTGGTCCGTGGACCTAGGACAACGTCCCTCCCGGGAGGCCGCAGGCCCCCTGCTGGCCACGCTCCCAGGTTTCCTGCCTTGCGACCTAACTGGGTCACCTGTGTCTGCCCCACTGACCCCGCCCGGTCTGGCCCCCCGGACTTGCGTACTCGAGGACGGAGTGTGTGGCCGCGCCGGGGTGGTAGCGGTAGAGGAGCAGGCTCTGGTCCACGCGGACGAGCCCGCCGCCCTTCCTCAGGTGTTCGTGGAAGAACAGCAAGTCCTCGGGGACACCCTGCAGGACGAAAGAAACGTGTCTCCACTCACGACAGAGCCTCATTCTGGCGACGGGAGACGCGGATCCGCCCGGCACCCCAGCCGCTTGAGCCTGGCATGACCCGTGAGGCCTCAGCGGGAAAACAACACGTCCAGCTCCCCCACCTTGTGGCCGGCACTGGGCAAGCGTGACCACAAGAGGCGTCTTCAGGACAAGAAGGTGCCCGAGGGGTGGACCCAAGCCCCAGTGCCACCCTCACTCACAGCCTCAAACTTGACCCCTGGCCTGCGCTGCTGGCCCGCTGACCTGCCCCCTCCCTGCTGACGCGTCCCGCTGGGTGTTCCCGTCCTGTGAGAACCCAGGCCTCCCGCCCCCTCCTGGAGAAGCGCAGACCAGGGCTGGCCGTTGGGGTCACAGCCACCCTGCTGGTCAGTCTGGGGGATCTCAGTCCTGGTGGGGACACCAAGTTGGCTCCCCTCACTTTTTAAAATTCAAGGTGAAAACCAAGTGAGCAGGGGGTCTGGACAGGAGGTCACCCAGGGTGTGTCTGGTGAGCAGAGCCCAGCAATGGCTGGGGACACTGCCAGGACCCCTGCTCTGGGCAGAGGCTGGTTTCCTGACAGCCCAGAGGCTGCTGCTCTCCGGCCCCAGCCTGTCCTCCTCCGCCGGTTCCCCAGCCCGAGCTCGGTTTCACCGAGCCAATGCCAGCACCACGGCCGGGCCCACTGCTTCCGGTAAAGCCACGGCTGCCCCCCAGCTCGTCCACCCCGAGAGGAAGGTGGCACAGCTGGCCTCTGAGGTCTCGATGTCCTGATGGAGCCTGGTGGCCGTCATCCTCGGGGAGAGATGGGACCCCTGGCCCCTACTGGCCAGCTTTTTGGCCCGAGCGTATCCCCTGACTGGGCCCTGTGCACCTGGCCTCTGGGGTCTGTGATGAACTGATGCTCTTTGTCTGTGGCCGCCCAGGCGCGAGGTCCGCTGCCTCCTGGCTTGGGCCTGAGCGCCATCCCTGGAAGCAGCCCACTCAGCTCTCACTCCTGAGCTGCCACACTGGGCAGCTCAGGCAGCCTGCCCGCCTCCGTCCCTGAACAAAGCCACCACTGCCCAGGGAATCGCCGCCCGGGGTCCCTGACACACCGCAAGGCCGTCAGGGCAACGCGATGGAAGCCAGCCGAGTAGGAAATCGGCGCAGTCTCGTTAGCGACGCGGAAACACGCGAACCACTTCACTTGCAGCATCGGGCGGTTGAGTCAATCAGTGACTCGATGGACTACTGTGTGGTGACTGAAGTGTTTTCACAAAGACCACAACGACATGAAAAGATTTATAACAAAATGTTAAGTTAAAAATCAAGTTTCAAAATTGTGTTTGCAGCTTGGCTAAAAGTGGTCCACAGTAAAAGGAAGACAAAAGGACCCCACACAAAAGTTCACAGCAGATGTGTGGTGATGGGTTCACGGGTCATTTGCGTAGTTTTTCCTTTTTCTAATTTTCTGCATTTTCAGAGTCATCTTTCAAGAGCACATTGTGACTCTGCGCTTTATAGATTTAGGAAGGAGAAAATGTCCTCTCTTCTCATGACCAAGGGGACCTCAACCCCAGAGTTCCCTTATTTCTGGCAAAGAGACAAGTGAGAATTTAGCCAGAGGAGGTGCCTGGGACATGGCTGGAGGGCACCCCCCACCCCCGATTCACAAGAGCCTGGGCACCGCTGACTGATCGCAAACAGCAACAGAGGCCGCGATGGGATGCAGAGGTGACGTCAAGGAAGATGGGGTGCTGAGCCCCGGTCCCCCGTGGAGATGGGGACCTGGACAGACCTGGGGGATCACCCGGAGCCCTGGGGCCTCTGGGGTGTGAGAAGGCGGTTGGATGGGTAGGCGCCCTCAGAGATGTGGTGAAAGGGGATTAGGACCCTGTGGGACAAAAGGAAACAAAGAAGGAGAGACACACCCTCCTCCCCTCCCTGCCCTCAACACCCGCTGCACTTCCCTGGGGTGACAGAGGGGGCGACCCTGAGGTAGGAATCCCATGAACTGCGGCTATACAAAGCCCGTGTGAGAAGAAACAGAAAACAGACACTTCCGTGGACAGAAATTCACCCCAAATAACAACAACAACAAAAACCATGAAGGAGAACTCTGGTTCCACACATCGGAATCAGGTCCGCATTAAGACCAATCCCAGTGAAACCAAGAGTCTTTAACAAGGGAGGAATTCTCAGAGCCTCCAGGAAAAGGTCAAGCACCTTACAAAGCCGAGCGAATCGAAGGAGCGTCAGGCAAAGCAAGGCAACAGGGAGCTGTGCTGTCAAGACATGCAAGCGAAGGTGTGACTCAGGGTTTTCTGTCCAGCCCGTACCTCCTTCACATGTCCAGAACCACAGTCTGAATGGGCAGGAACTCAAGGAACGCCGAGGCCCGGACAGCCTGACATGCGAGGCTGAGTCCAGGGACACAGACGGGTGGCTGGGGACTCAGCACGCGGAGTTGCCTTCTGACGAGAGCGGAAATCACGCAACCAAACAGGAGGAGAAAGGAAAGAGGGAACAGATGATCTACTGGCTGCTGTTCAGGCAACAGGTGGGGGTCAGAATACCTTCAAAAACCGAAAAACAAAAAGCCAACCAGGAAAGGTTTAAGCAGAGAACTTGGGACCAAGGGCGTTTAAAGAGAGAGAAATACAAAGATGACAAAATACAGACCTTCTTCGATACCAAGAGAGGTTTTTAATGCACCAGAGAAGGTGCTGACTTCTGGCTCTGGGTGGCTGAGTGGCCAACCTCTACGGCATCTGTGAGCCCCATGCCCAGAGTGGGAAGCCCCGGGGCGGGGAGATAAAACCCACAAAACAGGGGTGGAAGCCCCAGCCTCGCTGCTCTGACATCCTCAGGATAGAATCTGGGACGAGCACAAGTGGGAGTGAGAGGAAATCCCAGAACGCTGAGACCCAGGGTGGGAGAAAATACCCACAAGCAAGTATCTGACCAAGAACACCAACAACTCAACAGTAAGAAGACACCCCGCTTAAAACTGGGCAAAAGGTCTGGACGCGTCATAAAATAACATACAAGCAGCCAATCGGTGCATGAAAAATTGCTCAACATAAGTCATCTCAGAAATGAAAATTAAAATACAACAAGAAACTACAGAACTGCCATCAGAATGGCTAAAATGCAAAGAGCCTGGTACACCCTCTGGAGAGGGGGAGACAGCTCGTAACTCACACAGCGACTCTGAGCCTGGGGATCTTTCCAACAGATGCAAAAGCACTTCTGCAAAGTGTCTGCTGTGCTGGGTGGCGACCCCCCTCCAGGCCGTTCCCCCTCCAAGACTTTTTCACCCAGGCCAGACCGGCCCTCAGAAGAGCCCTGTTCTGAACCAACAAACACCATTTTTGTCACTTTCCTTTTTGTTTAAGGGCCTGAAACCGTTGCCTCCTGGGGACATCTAGACCCCTCAGCTGGATGCTGTCCTGCGCCGGATGGCGCCCTCCTCCAAATCTCCGACTCCCCTCCCCCACCGCGCCTCTGCGAGTGCATTTTCCCAATTTAAAACCTGTGCACCTTGCAGGTTCCAGCTCGTGGCCGCTGTGTCCACGACCACTCAGCCACCCTCACCCCCGAGTCTCGCCACCATCCTGCTCTGCGTCCTTTTGCACCTCGACTGTCCCGGCTGCTTCGGTTCCCTGCCCTTCTCTCCATGGGCAAGAACTGCAGCCTCTTGGGCCTGGAGAATCAGCTGAGGACCAGTCCCCAAACCTAAGTCCAGCCCTCAGGGCACTATGCTCCCCTCGAGCCCCTGGTTTGTAAACCTGAGACCAGCACTGCTCCTGGAGGGCACGTCTGGGCGACCATGAGGGACCGTCCGGCCAGGGTCCAGTGCAGGGGGCAGTGGGGGAGCCAGCCTCTCCCTCTAAAATGAGACTGTGTGCGTGACGGGCAGGGGAGTGGGCAGAGGAATGCCGGGTAGGAGCAGGGAGGGGGTTGGCTCCAAGCGGCCCCTGTGCAGTCAGTGAAGGTCCCCCCGAAGCGGAGAGGACATTCAGAGCAGGCAGGACCGTGGCCAAGGTCCTGGGGCAGACGGTGAGCCTGGGCCTGAGTTACCCCCACCTTCCAGCCTGATGGGCCTTAACATGCCTGGCCCACCCCTTCCACCACGAGGACCAGAACTCATGATCTCAAAGCCAATTTAAGGGCGGGGGGGTTAAGGGAAAATAAACTAACCCTCAGGCTTACCTTCTGATCGGTGTCAGAGTGCTCACTCTTAAGACTGTCGGGGTGGGAGGGGCGCAGGTCAGCGTCGCGTCCCCATTTCTAGGCCGGAGCCCGGAGACCAGCGTGGGCCCCGCTCTGCAGGTGAGGCCCCTCAGGTAGGCGAGGGTGCAGACGAAAGAGCCAGGCCAGCTTGGACCCGAACACCCCAGGGCCACCGGCCACGGGAGAACTGGGGAGCTCTTCCCCCGCTGCCGTCCAGGGGTGGCAGAATGACACTGCCCACCTCCTGCGGTTTCCCACAAACAGCTCTTAAAGCAGGATGAGGCAACCAGGGCCGGGCAGGTGTGAGCCAGGAGAAGACGCCCGGCGCCCACAGCCTTCACACAGAAATCCCCTGCTTCCCGCACAACACGGGCCAAGCGGTGCCCCGGCTGCACCCTGGGAGGCTCAGCACGCCCGGCCCGGGAAGCAGGAAGCGCTGCAAAGGCCCTCACGGGGGGACGGCGGCCCAGCCCGGCCCCGCCCAGCCCAGAGGAGGAATCCACGGGACACGCACTTACCCGCCCGCCCTCGTCAAATGGGCCCACGTGGGAGAACCAGGCTCGGGAGCAGAACCAGGTGGGCATGATCACGGTGGGGCCATTGGAGGTAAACACCTGGAAGCAATTAGTATGGACACAATTAACAGAGAAAAACAGCTCATCACACAACCCACAGGTTATTTCCCACAAAGTCACTCAGAAGGTGACAAGCAAATGTGCACATCCCTTCCCTGTCGGTACAAAGGTTCAAGGGGCTTTAGAGCCAGGTCAGTGGTGTCCAGCTCCCAAGGCTGACAGATGGGCTCAAAGTCTCCCCAGGTCCTGTTCTGTGGCTGATGAACCACCCGGGTTCTCGGGGGGCGTGCTCTAATCACTGCTTGAGCCAGTTAACGAAAACAAGCATCTAAAATGAAGAGGGATGACAAGGCATTGCACGTCCACCATGTGGGGCTTTCTTCACCATGTCCAGCACCATTGGTGGACAGCTGGGCTCGGGGGCTCTGCAGTCTTACTTTATTTCTACTATGTTATAAAATCTGCACTTGCACCATTGACTCTGTGAGAACCTGGCGGACGTTCGGTCCGTCCTGGACCCGAATCACTGACAGTGAGAGGCTGTGAGCGCACTGTGGGGACAGGGAGCCAGAGGCCAGAAGCTGAGCTGGAACAGAGCAGGATGGACAGACCCGCGTCCCTCTGTGCCTGGGACGTTTCTTCTGTATTTGGACGTGGCTTGTGAACGTCCAGCAGCAAACGGTCACTCAGGACAGGTCGCCCCTCGCATGCGGCCCACGCCCGCCAAGCTCGCTCAGCCCCGAGCAAGCATCTCTTCAGCACTTTTGCTTCAAGGTGATTCCACCACCACCTCGCTCGGCACCCCAAGTGGCTTCTGCGTCTGAACCACAGGTGTGACCTGAGCCTGGGTTTTGCTGTGAGCGAATGCAACCTCGATCACACAGGTCACTGGGCTTCTTTTAAAGCTGGGGAACATTAATGAGGGTGAGGTCCAAACATTTATCACCATTTTACACAAAAACAAAGCTGGGTTGTAGTGGTTACACAAATATGTACACATGTGCTAAAACTCACAAAGCTGTATACCAAAAAGGAAAACAGTTCGTTTTACTTTAATTTTTCTTAAACTTTTTTTTTTTTTTTTTTTTGCGGTACGCGGGCCTCTCACTGTCGTGGCCTCTCCCGTTGCGGAGCACAGGCTCCAGACGCGCAGGCTCAGCGGCCATGGCTCACGGGCCCAGCCGCTCCGCGGCATGTGGGATCTTCCCGGACGGGGGCACGAACCCGTGTCCCCTGCATCGGCAGGCGGACTCTCAACCACTGCGCCACCAGGGAAGCCCACAGGTTCTGAGTTTTAAATGTGGTTTCCAGCAAGACAGAACTTGTGAGGGTCTTAACAACCCTTCTAGAAATTTGCCAGGCATCAGTTCTAGTCACCGTTTAAACTGAGTTATGTGCACGTGAACGAATCCCATGTTTTAACCTGGTGTGTGAAGTGTAGCGTGTAGGGGTCCCAGAGGGCAGTGAGCCCCTCGGCCGCCCTCTGTACACAGGTGCCGCTGTCTGTCCCCTCGAGGCTGCCACTGGGTCCCCCTTCCTCATCCTGTGGCAGAGCAGGGGGCCCAGGTTCTGTCCAGACTGGCCACCGACCAGCTGGCCGGGGGACGCCGTGGAGCCCTCGGGAGAAAGTGGCCTAGGCTTAATGAGCGTATCCCGCCTCTAAAATCCCAGCGACTCATTACAAGAAATCTTGACCAAAACTGTCTTAGAAGAAAACCAACCTTTCTTCCACGAATGGCCCGTTTGGGTCGCTCACTGCACTCACATCACATGTCCAAGTGGCCAGGGCAGACCTCCTGTCCCCCACATGTGAAACATGGCCAGGCCCCAGAGCGTCAGGCAGGTCAGCAGGACTCCAGGGCCAGTTCCCTGGCTTGGTCACGATTCTGCCTCCACTGCCCCGCGGGCTCAGGCCAGTCCAGCCAGCCCACCGGGGGGCCGAGGGCGGCTCCTGGCTTCTCTGGGATTTGCCCTGCCAGCAGCCACTACCCCTAGCCTGGGCCACGGAAGTTCTGCCAACAGCTAGAGACCAGAACACAGGGCTCTCTCCCTTGACACTTGGGGGGCATGAAGGATCTGGGCACCAGGCTCCCTTTCTTCCCCTCGGCTGCACTGCCCGCTCTGACGTCTGGGTCAGGGTCCAAGGCAGGGAGGGAGAAGCACGGCAGCCCCCAGGAGGGAAGGGGTTCCCAGGGAGCTCCAAACACCCTGCCTCTCTTGGCCCCAGGCTCCGGGCACAGAGCCTTCAACCCCGACAAGCCCCTTGCACAGGCACACACGCACACACGCACACACACAGACACACACCCCACTCCCACTGCCCTGGGCAGGCGGCCCCGAGGGCTAGCCCACCACCCGCGAGAGGGATGTGCTGGAATTGAAGACCCCGGGTACCTAAGTCAGCTCACTTCCACTCTGATCAGGGGCATGGGGCAGGGGATGCCCACACCCTCCTCAGCCCAGCACATGAGCTCCCACACCCAGTGGCGCTGCAGCCTCAGAGGGTGGGGGCGGCTCGGGCAAGGACCCCGGAGGAGGGCTGAGGTCCCCACGCGGGGCTGGCTACAGCCACAGCCACCGCCACCCCCACCCCCGAGCACGGGCACTGCGTCTGGCCGCGTTGGCTTCGTCACGTGACCACCATGTGCTCCTACTACCCACTGATTCTAACACACTCTCAGCCCCCAGGCCTCCGAGCCGAATGTTTGATTAATACACACGGGCTCGGCTCACCTGTGAAGCTTCATTCTGCCGGCGCTGCTGAGATGGACACCGCGGATGGCGGCTCACGCCACAGCTCAGGGTCCGGTCTGGTGGGGCCTCTTCCCAGCCTGCAGGCGGCCTTCTCCCCAGGTCCCCACGCGGCAGCAAGAGCGCCAGCGTCTGTGCTACTCAGCTCATCACGGGGCCCCACCCTCCCGGCCTCAGCTGACCCTAGTGACTCTCAAAGGCCCCACCTCCCAATTCCATCACATTGGAGGGGGTCAGGGCTTTGATACAGGAATGGGGGACACAGACACTCAGTGACCTCCAGCTTTGCTCCAGCCTGACCCCCAGTGTTAGGTGATCCAGAGCCCTGCTCCACGGACCCTCCCACCCAGGAGCCCATCAGCACTGACCATTCATTCCTAATTGCCCCCAAGCTCCAGACCACAGACCTGGCTGCCCACTGACATCTCCTCTTGGTTGTGTAAAGGGCGACTCAAATGACTTTCTTACAGCTTTGTTGACTATGATTGACATGCAATACACGGTACATATTTAAAGTCTGATGAACGTGACCAGCATACAAACCCCCTCCCCAGCTTCCTCATGGCCCTGTCTGTCCCCCTTGGTGAGCTCCCTGTCTCCCTCCCCAGGCAGTTGCTGATTTGCTTTTTTTTTGGCTGAGTGCCTTGTGGGATCTTAGTTCCCCAACCAGGGATCGAACCCAGGCCCTTGGCAGTGAGAGTGCGGAGTCCTAACCACTGGACCACCAAGAAATTCCCTGATTTGCTTTCTATCATAAATAAGTTAGCTTGCATTTTCCAGAATTTCACATAAATAGAGTCATGCAGTAGTGCTCTTTTCTGGTTTCTCGCACTCAGTACCACCTGTTCGCTCAGAACTACAGCTGTTTTTCCATTCGCCTATTAGTGAACGCAGGCTGCTCCCAGTTTGTGTTGTGGGTATATCTGTGTGTAAGCCTCTGGGTGGAGAGGCTTCCATTTCTCTCAGGTAAACACCCAGGAGGGAGTGGCTGGATGATGAGGCAGTTGTACGGTGAGCTTTCAAAAAAAAATTGCTGAATTGTTTTCCACAGTGGTTGGATCATCTGCATTCGCACCAGCGGTGTGTGAGCTCCCATTGCTCCACATCCTCGCAAACACTTGGGATGGCCAGCCTTTATCTTCTAGACGTGCTAATAGGTGTGCTGCGGTATCTCATGGTGGACTTAACATTTTTCTAATGGTTAATGATGCTGAACTAATTTACCATCCATATACCTTATATGATGAAGCATCTATTCAAATCATTGGCCCATTTTTTATTGGGATGTTTGTTTTCTTATCACTGAGTCTTGAGAGTCCTACAGAGGTCTGGGCACAAGTCCTTTATCAGATATTATTTGTAAACATTTTCTCCCATTCCCCTGGCCTGTCTTTTCATTTTCTTAACAATGCCTTTCAGGACTTCCCTGGTGGCGCAGTGGTTAAGAATCTGCCTGCCAACCCAGGGGACACGGGTTCGAGCCCTGGTCCGGGAAGATCCCACATGCCGTGGAGCAACTAAGCCTGTGTGCCACAACTACTGAGCCTGTGCTCTAGAGCCCACGAGCCACAACTACTGAGCCCACATGCCACAACTACTGAAGCCTGTGCACCTAGAGCCCGTGTTCCGCAACAAGAGAAGCCACCGCAGTCAGAAGCCCACGCATTGCAACAGAGTAGCCCCTGCTCTTCACAACTAGAGAAAGCTCGCTCGCAGCAGCGAAGACCCAATACAGCCAAAAATAAATAATTAAAGAACAAAACAAAACAAAAAAATGTCTTTCAAAGAAGTTTGTAAATTTTTTTTGATAGGTAAGAACTGAATTTATTTAGAGAGAAACACACTCCACAGACAGACTGTGGGCCATCTCAGAAGGTGAGAAAGGCACCAGGGTGTGGGGTTGTCAGTTTTTATAGGGGTGGGTAATTTCATAGGCTAATGAGTGGGAGGAGTATTCCAGCTATTTTGGGAAGGGGCGGGGATTTCCAGGAATTGGGCCACCGCCCATTTTTTGAACCTTATGGTCAGTCTTGGAACTGTCATGACGCCTGTGGGTGTGTCATTTAGCTGCCTGATGTGTTACAGTGAGCGTATACTGAGGTTCAAGGTCTAGTGGAAGTCAACTTGTCTGCCAATTTGTACCCATTTGGTTCTAATCCGTTTATGTCATGTCCTCATTCTTTCAAAGGTTGTGCTCTGCCCCCTTCCCTCCTGTTTCATTCCCCCCTCAGAGATTTTACTCCCATATTCTTTACGGAAAGCAGAAGGGTGATGGTAAGGAGTTTGTA